ACAAGCTGCCACAATACCTGAGACTCAGGGATCTAACCCCCCGTTGGAGCAACCGTTGCCACCCGTTGTAGAAAATACGGAGCAAGAGGAAAAGCAAGCATAGTGACTTTCTTCTCAAGTTGTAAATGAGCTTTTTCCAGAAGCAATGAAGATGAAGATGAATCTAAGGATCACGAGGAGTTGATAGGATGGGCCCGTTTTTTTGCTCTTTCTCTTTTCTTAATTTCTCTTCTTACCACCCCCCTTTTTTGTGCTTTTTTTTTATCATGTCGTTTCTTTTTTCTAGAATTAACGAATTTCCTTTGTCTATCATGTACTCGAAGGCCTCCCCTTTTTATTCTTTTCCTCTTTTTTTTTCTCTTCTTCTCGAAGAAAAAGGAGATTTGAGAGAGAAAAGGGGAGCTTTTCTTTTTCTTTTTTAACGTCAAAACACTGCTGCTGTATGTATGTATGTATGTTGAAGCGGAAGGGCGGGAGATGAAGAATATGCAGAAGAAGAAGAAGAAGAAGAGAAGAAGCATGTGTAGGAAACGGGAAATATTAGGTTTTAAAAGATTATTTAGTTTCATGAAAAATGACATGTTTATATGTCTGTTTGCTACGGCCTTTTTTTTGACGTAATCTTGGACAAAAATAGGGAAAAGATTATGCGAGCCTTGCGTTTACACACATATCCCCTTTAGAATCTCTTCGCTATTGGAAAGTTATGGGTTTGGTTACGGGGAAGAATACACATCCAGAGTCTTGTATAACTTCTTTTTATTGGGATTAGTTACAGATTTATACTTGGTACGTCTAGCCGTAGGGATAAATTATATGCTATTTGCTTTTTTTGCGATACAAAACCATTGCCGAGCACGAGGAGGTCACTACTAACGAAACAACTGCAAAAACGAGATGAACGAATCAGGCCTTTGTGACGGATCCCTCGTACACCCCCGTATCCCAAACAATCATGTAACCCGCTCTCCGCCAATCTTCATTAACAAATCCATTGAAGCCCACCCACACGCGAGTGAGCTGCGATATGCCCAGCCGCTTGCCCTCGGGCGTGTTCAAAAACTCGCCCAGCCAAGGCTCTATGCCTTCGAATCCGACAATGTACCGGGGAACAGGCACAACGGAGTTCCCAGGGGCAAAGAGTTCTTGGCGTAAAAATGGGATGGGGTTGTCGTAGAAGCGATCTGCTTCGTCGCGGTACAACTCGCGCTCGGGAGTGTTTGGCTGAGTATGCAGGGGGGGTTCACAGGTGAGCGCGTAGGCCGACAGCCCTGGATAGACGAGATGGGAGCGCCAGGGGGTGGAGTGGCACGGCATCAGAAAGAGGGCGAAGAGGTCTTCTTTATTAGCGTCATCGTCGGTGGATGTCGTGACATTGGAGTAGTGGCTTAGATGGGCGTGATGAACAGCAGACGGATGAATGCGTTCATATTCTTGTCGAAGAAATGAGAGAACGCCAAGAGGTGCGGGTTGGTGCAGGAAAGAGAGATAGCCGGCGAGGACAATGTTGATTCCCAAGGCGGTAAAGAGAAGAGGCTTGTTACGAAGCTGAGCGCGGCGAGCTGCCGGTGACTTTGTCCCAGAGGGTTGAGAGGCAGATATCTGAGCCGCAGATGAGATGGAGGGCGGAGGACTTGTTCGCGTAACTGAGGTGAAGAAGGCCGCGGCTCGTGGAGCGGCAAGGACGCTGAGAACTGGGAGGAGAGGATAGATGAAGCGAACTTCTTTGTGGGAGATGAGGGAAAGGGCAATGACGGTGCTGAGAACAGCGTAGGAGAGCGTCCGAAGTATGTTGGCCTGATCAGCAGTCTTAGACGAAGGCTTGAACAGTGCTGGCACAACAAAGGGGACGCTTGTGGTGCAAAGCAGAGGTATGCCTTGGAGGATATAGTAGTGCCAGGGGTTGCGGCCGTAAAAGACGGCAAGTGATTTGGAGATGTTGAAGTTGAGCCAGTTATAAGGCGGAAAGGCCCATTCTCCAAAATAGAATCGGTCAGCGAGGACAGACATGCCCACCACCAAAGATCCGCATAGGATTGCTTCTCTGAATAGAACCAAGACGGTGGAGAAACTCAGGGGTGAGTTCCCTTGAAGCGTTATTCGTGTTAGAGCGACGAAGACAATAGTGAGCCAAATGAGGATATTGGTAGGGCGTAAAACGACAGCCAAGGCGGCGAGACAGAGCGAAGCACGGAGACGCCAGAGTTTACCGCGCAGGACGTTGAAGGGCTTGGAATTCTCCTTGATGGAATAGGGGGCAACACCGACGAGTTGCCAAGGCCAGTAGCAGAGGGCCATGACCGTGAGAGTTGTCTCCAGGGAATTGGAAAAGGTCCTCGTGGAGCAGTACCATTGCCAGGGATTCAGAAGTTGCATGAAGAGCTGAGGGGGTTCATTCATCGTGTAAGTGGCGAGATACAACTAGGGAGTCGAGGAGAGCTTGAGGGGAGACTTACAGCAAAGAAGGAAGCATTGCTATCAGAGCCATACACGGTGGAGGCAAGATGCCAGGTGTACCAGTCCCCTAGAGCAGCAATGAAGGCTTGCAAGATGCGGGGAGAAACAATGACTGCGGCGGAGCGAATAGCATTTCCTGGAGGAAAGACGGCGGACAGACGATCTGCAGCCATGTAGGCGCCGGAGAAGAGGAGAGGATGGAGAGACGACCTCAGCTGGTGGTGCCATTCCTATAAGGCGAGGGACAATTAACAGGTTTGTTTCTTCCAGTTTTCTGATGATATCAATTGAAGAATTGTGATGTACATGTGTGTATATATTCGAGGAGGACACATAATTGTGTGCACAGCATGTAATTGCACGTATAAAAGACCTACCCATGTGAGCCACGCGCCGCTCCCGGGCCCAAAGGCCAGGCGCCAGGCCGGCTCCAGCGCCTGGAAAAACTCATCGGGCTGGAAAAAGGTGGCCAGATACAGGGCATTGAGCAGCCGCAGAATGACAATGTCCCGCAGCGGCACGGGCGAGAGACGCGGCTTGCTCTTGAACGAGGCCGAAGGAGCGCGTTGGTGGCCGGCCATGGTTCAAAGTGTGGATGGTTTCAAATGGCTTTCAATGGTTGTGCAGCTGAGTTGGCGCGCTATAGCCGTCTCAATGGTTGTAGGGGAGCCCCTTTAGCGTCCAGCGGCTGCTAACCAGGCTCCCGTCACGCTAATGGATGCTGAATTGGATTGGCTGACCCTTGTTGCTCCAACGTGGCCCAATTGATGCACTGCGGAGTCGGTCGTGGTGAGAACGACAAATCTCGCGGTTTCTATCCATTCTGCATTGTTCTCGGGATCTTGATATAGCACAGCATTTTGAAAAGAGCCCGCCAGCAGTACCCTGATGCTCTGGGTTACTCGCCTGAGCACTGTCCTTGAGCTTAAGTTGTTTAGAGCCCCTGCAAGTACAGATGCGCCTGCCGCACAGTTTGGAACTTGGCACTTGGCATTAGACACGAGCAGCCAATAGCAGCCGCTGGATAGCAGTCATTGGATGAATGAAGAATGATGCGAGGAAGGAGCTGCGCAGCCTTGAAACTATTTCCTCACAAGACACAAGAAGGCGATAAATGTGAAAGGCAGAGGCTAGCATGCTCAAGGTGCTGAGACTCATTAGAGGGTGCTGTCCTGGACCCGTCGTAATCTAATCTCATCTAATCAGTGCGTGATCGGACATGTATCCAATCGACATACAAAACGACCCCCGTCTCTTACTTCTTACTGTAAGGCATGTGCAGATACAGCAATGCGCATCCTACCTTATCTCTACCAGCTGCCTGCAGCAGTAGCATCGGCACATCCTTTCTGCGACAATATCGGTCCCAGCATTGGCATCAGCATCAACGTAAGCATCGGTCGACCAAAGCATCCCCATGCAGCCAAATCTCACATTACATCACTCCCTCATCCTTTCGCTCGTCATAGGTCGTAGATACCAATTGACAGATCTCACAAGACCACAGACGGCCCGGTCAACGTACGTAATGCGACGGTGCCCATTGGCCCATCTCTCAAACGTCGACAGGGCTCCCCACCCTTTTTTTTCTTGGTGGCCGGACCGGATGTTGCAGCAGCGTGAAATCATGAGAGCCGCCGAATGTGGGGATCGACGCCAACATCCCACTGCCTCAAAGCGTGAAGAGCGCAGTGCGACTATCTGCTAATCTATACAGCCCAGGCAATAGATGTTTGGATGGAACCAGGCGTACAGACACAGACTAGATACCCGACAAAAAAAACAGCATGATTGCCCATGGCTTGCCCAGATCCTGAATCACCATCGTCGCTCCCACGCGCAGTCTAGGCCATTTCGAGACCCTCTGCTAGGGGTCCAGAACCAAAATGCCGAGGCCAGCCGGCCGCTTCTCTGGGGCGCCCTACGGCATCGGCGGGCTCTGGACTATCGGACCTGCGGCGAACCCAAGGAAACCACCGGCACCTCGACGGCGTTGGCTCTCCAGCGACAGGGAGCAGAGCCCAGCGCCTGGAGCCTCTGCTCCACCGGCGTGCTGCTACACGCTCACACTTGCACTTAGGGGTATAGCGGCGGCGTATCTTGGTCTCCAATGCCTGGATCCAGCTCGACTATGTGACACATTGATTCCACGCCGCGTCGGTGCTTCTATCGCTGCCCGCTTTCTCACGGCCCTATAACTGGCGTCGTCTCCCCGGGGGTCAGGTGGTTTGGGACCTGACTCTCTCTCATCAGCTGCAGCGATTTGCGAATTTGTAGGTGAAGACCAGAAAAAGGAAATAAGACTTGTTCTAACGTCGTCTTTTTCTAACCAGAGCATCTGCTTCCAATTACAATTTACTAGCTGGTACGTCCATCGGCACGTCCATCGGCGCTTATCCTCGCTATCAGTGCCCCTCCCCCTCCGTGTTCCGGCCTATCGCAAACGACTTTCCATTCCTTGCAAATTCGACCGACTTCCACTAACACAGCATCGACTTCAGATCTCTTTCTCCTCAAACACCAACCACCAATTCTATCCAACCATGGCTCCCCACGCTAGCGATGCTGTTGCCAGCAACGGCGCTGCATCCCGCTTCCACGCCTCTTCCACCGATGCCGCCATCGCCGCCGAGAACCAGTTTGCGGCTCACAACTACTCGCCTCTCCCCGTCGTCTTCTCCAAGGCTCAGGGCGTCAATGTCTGGGATCCCGAAGGCCGCCAGTACCTGGACTTCCTGTCTGCCTACAGCGCCGTCAACCAGGGCCACTGCCACCCCGAGCTTGTCAAGGCTCTCGTCGACCAGGCCTCCCGCCTTACTCTGAGCTCAAGAGCCTTCCACAACGATGTTTTCCCCAAGTGGGCCGAGAAGGTCCGCAGCGTCTTCGGCTACGACATGGTGCTGCCCATGAACACCGGCGCCGAGGCCACGGAGACTGCCATCAAAATTGCCCGCAAGTGGGCTTACAAGGTCAAGGGCGTTGAGGATGGCAAGGCATTGGTCTTTTGCGCTGCTGAGAACTTCCACGGCCGAACTGTAAGTATTCCATCAGTTGTCTAGTACAATCCCAAATTGTGGTTTTGAGTCAAAAAGAAAAAAGAAAAAAAAAGAAAGAAGAAAGACTCAACGCAATGGGCAACAAAGACGTACTAACACTCCCCACAGATGGCCGCCATCACTCTGTCCACCGATCCCGAGTCCAAGGACAACTATGGCCCGTATGTCCCCAACATTGGCGCCACCTCCCCTTCCACTGGCAAGCCCATCCGCTACAACAACGTGGCCGACTTAGAGGAGGTTTTGGAGGCCCATGGCAAGGACACCGCCGCCTTCATTGTTGAGCCCATCCAGGGTGAGGCTGGTGTTGTTGTTCCCGACGACGACTACCTGACCAAGGTCCATGCCATTTGCAAGAAGCACAACGTTCTCCTCATCTGTGACGAGATCCAGACTGGTATTGGCCGAACTGGCCGCATGCTCTGCTCTGAGTGGGCTGGCATCAAGCCTGACATGGTCACTCTTGGAAAGGCCATCTCCGGCGGCATGTACCCCGTCAGCGCTGTCCTGAGCAGCAAGGAGATCATGCTGGTTGTCGAGCCCGGTACTCATGGTTCGACCTATGGCGGTAACCCCCTGGGCTGTGCAGTGTCAATCCGAGCTCTGGAGATCCTTGAAGAGGAGGACATGACTGCCAAGGCCGAGCGTCTTGGCCACATCTTCCGCGATGGCGTGGCCGCAATCAAGTCGCCCATTATCAAGACGGTTCGCGGCAAGGGTCTGTTGAACGCCGTTGTCATTGACGAGGCCGCTGCTTCAGGCCGCACTGCATGGGACCTCTGCCTTCTGTTGAAGGCCAAGGGCCTCTTGGTAAGTTGACCTTTTGCATCCCATGGCTGCCTTGCCTCTTTTTCTCCTCTCTACCCCTCTTCTTCATGTTACGTTTCCTTTGCTAATCACCCTATTAGGCCAAGCCAACCCACGGGGATATCATCCGTTTTGCGCCTCCCCTCGTCATCACTGAAGAGGAGCTTCGCAAGGGTCTCAACATCATTGCTGAGGCTCTGAAGGAGCTGCCCACCGTCGCTAAATCCGAGGGTCACTAAATGACAAGTGACAACTTTTCCTCCAGCAGTCTGAAGGGGGGAAAAGTTCAGAGCGTACCGTCCTACGGGAAGTAGACGCCGCTGCCTCGTGAGCGCGAGCTCCGGGAATTATGAGGGCGACCCACGCGAAAAGAGAGACGAGGAATTTCCTTTTTGATTTACACGTCAAACATATAAGATACCCAAGGGATAGCCAGGACCGGTCATGAAGCAGCATAGGAACGGGAGCATATTATGGATTACCGTTTTGGGCTTGTTTTGTTATTCTATTTGTTTTCTTCTTGTTCTTGTTGCTTTTTATTTTGCATTCTGCGCCGGACCATGTTCCCTGTTTTCGAACAGGTCGGGCGGATCTTCGTCCGCGGCGCAGAGAGAGTTGGTGGTGTGTAGTACGCCTTGTGTAGAAGGCTTGAAAATGATCAATATACATAAATTGGGGTGGAATATCATTATGCCGTTTGTCTCGCCTGTGAATCTCGTTTATACTTGTAGCGAGAGAATGACTCAATCTCTGTTATTTGATAAAAAACGCTCTTCGCTCCCCTTAAGCGCTTTTGCATTGAACCAACGCCCGTGAATCCTTGAGGGCGTCTACGATAACTCTTACCAGTGGCTGAAGCGGCTCAAGCGGCATTTCTTATTGTTCGTCTCCCGTCCTCGTCTCACTCATTTGTGCTCTGTACCCCCAAGGCCAAGATTTGGCTAAGTAGGCAGGTAGGCAGTCATGCATTAACGTGAAGATTTAAAACTATTCTGTAAATCCTTACTTGTTCGTACGGCTAGGCAGCAGGAGGAGGGGTCGATTCATTGAGTAGTGTCAATTCACAGCATGTGGAAGCTCTAAAACTTTACAATGATACGTTCAATGTTCTGCCTGGAGGGCGTCCATGTAAGTCGATAAAAAATATCCAAGTGCTCATGAGTGAGGCGATAAGCCGAGGCTTAATTGATTGATACTACTTAAGGTAGTATGTAAGTTATAGTAATACGATCCACGCATGCCAAAATCAACGTGATGCCTAGAAAAACATAATGTGGATACACGTAGGTATGCAATAAGGGATTGGGAAAACAGATTTATTTCTCACATAATTGAAAGCGGGGGACGCAAAAAGCAAATGGAAGGGGGTGGGCATGCATCAATGCTAATAAGGGGTGCGTGGTGATGTGTGATAGCGCTGCCATATAGGTGTGTGTAGTGGTGATGTGTAAATGTAGGACTTTGTATGGTGGGGTGGTATCTCAGCCAGGTACTGCATGTAGACCCGGGTACCCTTATACTAGTTTCAATCCGCTAGGAGATAACTATACAGTATATGGTATGTGTGCCTCCTGAGACAAGAAAATGATAGGCTGATCGTGTTGCTGCAAGAGGGGCGGATGCCTAGATTATGGAGTGTAAGTGAAGTTTTGGGCGAAGAGGGGAAATGTCCTGTCCTTTCCTGCCTGCGACGGCTTCGCTTAAGCAGGATGTGGTGCAAAAATGAAACAATCCAATTGGATTAAGATGGCCGTCTTGTCACGTTGGCGCCTCTTGGTAACCGCGGAAGACGGAGATGACATGCAGGGTGCTGCGAAGCGAGAAACAAAGAGAGAACATTGAGGAAAATAAGCCGTGATATGTCTACGAAGAAAAGTCGTCCAGTGTGTTCTCTCATAGCTTACGGGTAATAAATGAAGCAAGCATGGGTATCATTGACATGTCGCATGTGTACAAGGCACGTAAAAGATTACCTAGGTTGGCACGTCAAGGTCACTCTCAACCCAGCAGAACCCAGTCTACGATCCTCACCCCTGCAGGGCATAAGATGAGATGTGTAATTCGCATGCAAGGGAGGGCTTGGTAAATTGCTTGATGGCGACTGCAAAGTGCAGATCTTTGCGTCTTGCACTGATGTCATGATGTGCGGCTGGTCGTGGCATTTCTGGGGTTTCGCCTCATCGTGAACAACAGGCTTAAAGGTGGCTTACACGCCTAGGGACGTGGTTCGTCTTCATAGGACGCAGGACTGTGTTGTGTCGCGCTCTGTGCTGCACGGCTTCGTATCGTCGGCTTTATCGCAAGCCACTGAAACCGCAAGAGATCGAGAAACAGTAGACTATGCAGGGAAGCATATCTAGAAGCCAGCTCGGCCCATTTCAACCAGGCCGTTTGATGGCAGTGAACCACCTCTTTATTAGACTTACAAGTAAGAGCGGCTCACGATTGCCTCGATGCTAGCGTCCGGGATGCCGAGCGTCAAACAGAAACAGGGAACTGAGAATTGACCCCATGTTTCTGAGCCTGTCGCTCGGCCTTATGCACAGCTCCTCTTCACGTCGATCCCTCCCCCTCTCCAAAAGCATCGGTTTAAGTCGAGTCAGCCGCATGGGATACAGCAGATGATGGCGGCCGACCGCCGACGCCGCGACGCCGCTCTAAGCCGTTCCAAGCACGGTGAGCACGTCGAAATTGAACTGGCGTCGAGGTCCTTGCGTGAGGAAAAAGAAACGAGAACCTTGGAAGGGAGAAGGGAGAAGCGTGTGATACGCAGGTCTCCCATCGCCCTACGACTGCACGTGCTGACTGGGCTGGCGGTCAATAGCTCGATAGCCGGCGATAGCAGCATCAAGGGCCATCCAGGTGCTAGGCCAGATGGAATAGCGGGGAGCCGCCAGGCCACGCAGACGCAGTGTCAGGTGATGGATGAGCATTTTGATATAAACGGGAAACAGGTAATAGACGATCTGCATTCATGCCCTCAAGCTGCGATTCGACCAGGCGATTCTTGGGGTTCTTGACAGCACTCGAAGCCATGAGACCAGGTACCCAGGACCCTGGCCGGCGCGGTGATGTCAAAGCCCGTCAGCCATGGCCGAGTCGAGCCAAGCAAGAGTATGGGGTGGCTCGATTGGTGCATATGATGTTGGGCATGCGATGAGATCCGTTGGGGCTCCAGTCCGTCTAGAACGCCAGGGGTCTAAAAATAACAGGTCCGGGTGCGACAGAATCCCTCGCGTACACGAAGAGAAACATGCCGTGTTTGTGATATCCACCCTTTTGGTAGGGTGAAGTCAAGGACCAAAGTAACAAGTATCGCTGAACGCTAAATACCTGATAGATCCCATGGCCGAGCAGGGTTCGAAGCAAGAAAGATGAGGTATCCAGGGCCTCGGAGCCGCTTCAACGGCTGAGTAGAAAGATAGTAGAAAGCCTGAATATGGGTCTGGACACGTATTGTAGCACTCTTGCACGAGTAATGCCTGGTGGCAGCGGCGGGATAAGATTATTACTAGTACTTGGGCTACTAGGAGTATGCGCAGAGTACAGATGACAAGTCGTAGTAACAGCCTGCAAGTTGCACAGGGGGAATACTGAAAGACGGGTCAGCGCCCACCGAGAGGCATCGTTGCTGCGTGAGGAATGGAGTCGAGAGTTTGAAGTATACAGCTCTGCTGCAGTATCTCAACTCCGTACGCGGCTGCGGACACCGGCTGTAGATGGGATTGGCCAGATTCCCTCTGGGCTTGTTTGCAGCAGCAAGGGGGGCCACTTTTGAGAGTCAATCAAGCCATCCCACGTAGGAAATTGGGCTGGATGATTTGGCACGATGAGAAAAGACGGTGTTGAATACTTGCAGTATACCCAGCAGTCACCACGACGCACAGAGTGTGTAGTAGGACGCAGCCATGTACCACCAGTCAATATTGCCGGCACTTGTCGAATGCAAGGAGGAAGTGAGATGCACCGTACTCTTGACTTGTGGGAGCCGTCCGGATATTCTCCCAGTATGGTGGTTGTCGTCGTTAGTGACGGTTCATGTTGCACAGCATAAACGATGGCATCGTGGGGATAAGAAGAGAGACTGATTGGATGCGAAGCCACCCTTGGGCTCGTCTCAAGCAGGCTGCTACTGCAGTTGGCCCACCAATGAGCAGTAGTCTCGGCTAGGTGATGAGAATATCGGAAAACAGAAAACAAGAAGAGGCCACCAAAAGAAGAAAAGAAAGCGGAAAGATCAGGCAGAAGTCGTGGGGAATCCAGAGCCAAAATCAACCTTGGTGGTGATGCATTCACACGCCAGTGCGGTGAGTCCTGTTCAGGCCTAGCCGGGGGAAACTGCCCGGCAGAAATGATGCTAGGATCAGCTTCCCGCCTTCCATACTGAGGCAGATTGCAAGCAGCAACTTTCCTTGCCTGATAAGGAACTGCACCATACATACAGGTACATACAGCAAATGCTCGTACAAAATGCGGAATCGAGTCTCGTACTCGGTAGACGAAGCGCGGGGCACTCCACGTATACCGATTCATCTCATCACATCTCATCAGGCGTCAAGGTACTTGACAGGCATGTACTCGTGTGCTATAGCGCGCCCGCGGGATACAAAGTATAAGCATCAATGGTCTGTTTCATGCTTTCCCATGGCGCCGCCTCATTCTACAGCTCTTGACCGCCCTTGCAGCTTTGCCGCCACCAGAGTTCCGACATCCAAGCATCATTCTGATCAAGTTTTCAAGGTCATCTAATCATCGCCAGAAATGTGCTAATGGAGGCAGCCGCCATCACGGACAGAGGCAGCGCCCTCCTTCACGCCAGGCACGAGGAAGCGTCACTCAGTCGTCTAGCTGTCACCAAGCCGCTCATACGCCTTCAACCATTCACGCTTCGACGTTGGCGCCCTCGAGCACGGCCTAAAAAGTCCTACTTGGACGCGAATGACCAGCAGCAAAGGAGTGGGTTTAGCGGTCTCAAAAGTGGTCCCCCGATTTAAGGGTCCTGTTCTCGCGGTGGGTTCAAAAAGGGCAAAAGCTGGGCTGGGCTCTGGTTACGCCTTGCCGGCACAGATGGGGTTGCAATCCGAAGGCGCTAGGCTTGCGGTGCATACAGCATCCATTCATAGTGACCACCTCCGAGTACGAACAGATGCAAGCAGCAGATATTGTTCCATGCCAAATCTCTAGCCGAGTGGTGGCTCTCCGTGGACGCCGCAGAAGACGTAGCGGTACTTGATAGCGCAGCAAGTTGCTGCGAGTCCTGCATCAAGGCCAGACTAACTGAGGCACCGATTCGGCTCTGACTCAACTGCTAGTAGCACATACGACAGACAAAGTGCGCCGTACGTACGCCATCATGCGTGCTAAGGCGCGAGATCCCCAATGCGCTGCTCCCTACTCCATAAGTGCGAGTGCGCAGAACGACTCATCGACAGCGACTCGCCATGCAGCACGCCATTTCGATCAGTGTTTGACAAAGCAGTCGTTGGCATCTTCTAGGTACTTCCGGCCAGATTTGTGAACGTTTCTAGCCTCGAATCTTGCCCCCCAGCACTCCATGCCAAAAGGCAGCTAGACGCAGCAAGTACCGGACGGGCCATGGCGGTAGCGCAATGATGCGAGTCTCTCTCGAATGCACGCCAGTCGATCCCTTCCTCCCGCCGGCCCCGGGGCTCCATCTTTTTCTTCCTGCTTGTTTGGCTCAGCGTCCTGCCTCTGTCCGCCAGCGCTTCAGAGAGGCTGCGCGACCCCAGAACATGCCGCGATAAGGACCGTGGCGGGAATAAAGGGGGGCGTCGTGCGGCAAAGATACGGGCGACGTCAAGGGAAAGATGCCGTGCTTGCATGCGCCCAAGTCGGTCTGGCGCCATTCAGTGCGCGAGTTTCATGGCCAAAAGCCCAATGCCTGCCTATCGTTCTTACAGTACAGAGCATGCGAACGCCGTTATCGCTGCTGCTATCTGCCTATCTCTTATCTGCCTCTACGGCGCATGCCGAGTAATGATAGCGCTTGGTGCACATTGCTCCATATTACCGGTTGCATTCAATCAATCAGCCTGCATGGACGGTGGCCCTCGCGCTGCTCCGTGCCCTGCGCCTGTCCATGTACACAGCGCCGCCCTGCCTCTAGGCGCGGCCGGTCACTCCATGCCGCCCATTCGGATGCTGTAGCAGCATCACTACCTCGTGCTAGTAGCAGCACTATTGTGCCAGTAGCAATTGTCTGTCGACCTGGCCCTTATCGCGCAGTTGCTGTCGTCAATCACGACAATTGGCACGCTCATTGCTAGTGACCAAAAGCGCTGTCAAACCGAGGGCCCGTGCGACACAGTTCCGGGGCGGCGTTCAGCCAAGCGCTGCTGCTGGTGGCGCACGGCTAGCTGAGACACTTACTCGGTACTCTGTACCAGCTGGCTGCTATGAGCCAGCCGTGCCGAGCCTCAGTACAGGAAACATCATCATGATGTCTCTGCGCTTCTCTCAGCGCTCTCGAACAAGACCCACGGCGTCCGCTTCTGGCTTGGTCGCCTCTTGCTACGGAGTGTTCTGCAGGTACCGAGCCATGCGATATGGGTCCCAATTACGCGTGCGTTCCGCGGGGAAGCCTGTTAGGGATGTACCTGGGCTGTACTTCGGATATGGCTTCAAGCCTGTAAGCCTGTGTCGTACCGGAACGAGTACGCAGTTGCGCAGCGCTCTCCTCGAAGCAGCCGTCTGGGGTGGGGGGCCAGCTTAGCGCTGAGAGTCCTTGTGGTCATCCAGGTCACAGCGCTGGGGCTGGCCTGGGCTGGCTGAGCTGCTCGCCTGTTCGAGGTACATGTACTCGTGCAAGATTGCGGCATCGCCCCTTGCGCTGATGCCGCTGCAGGAGTCACCTGGCAGGTCCAGGGCCACAAGTACCCGGTACGCGCCCTCCATCGCTCCCTGCCAGCAACCTCCCAAGGCGCTCTACTGCTGCATCACAAGCCCTTCAGGTAGGTAGGTCATCCAGCAGTGACTTTCCGTGTGCCTTCGTCTATCTCTCTCTTGTCAACAGCTGCAGCGCCATCCTTTTCCATCTCCTCGTCATCGCTCGCTTCTTCGTCTTTTCCTCCCCCCTCCCTTTTCTTCCCTTCTTTTGCCTTTCCTCCCTCTCTGCCTCCTAATCACTCCGATTCTGATCTTACGCTCCTAGTTACATATTCTTGCCGCTCTTCTAGCTCGTCTTCTCCTCTCTTCTCTGGCGCTATCATTTCTTAATCATCTGACCACCCCCGATCTGGGACCCTCGGATCGATCATCTCCTCCTGTCAAGCGCTGGTTTTCGCCTCCTAGGCGGCCCAAACCCCGTCGAGCCCGCACCAAGGCCTTGTGGCGTCGGTACTTTGGCAGTGGTATCGCTGCTTTATCTGCGGCCTTGTACCCAATAGCCATCCCCGGCTGCGTCTCCATCTGCATCAACTGCGCTGCAGCCTCTTGAAGCCTCCCACGCAAACGCCCCGCAAACCCAGACAGTCGAATACCTTATCCATCCGGTAGGCGACCTCTGCCTGGCGCCGCTCTCGAGTCACCGTCAGGAAGCGTCTCTTGCGCCTTCATCATCCGCGACAGCTCAGCACGGCACGCACATTCTCCATCCGAGTGCATGCATCTGCATCAACCTAGGTAGCCATACATACAGGCAGCCAGCCATAGGCAGCCGGACCACAGCTTCCTGGGACGTGTTCAAGCGCTGGCCGTTGACGAGACGAGCTGCCGGTGCCAGGACGCCGTACCGCTGCTTGTTTCGTCTGTCTTGGAAGTGTTAGTCACGCCCTCCCCCGACCCTTGTCACCCCCAGAGCTATCCCGTCCGATCCCCAATTCGACCACAGGATCCTGCACGCCGGCGCTCGTCTGACTCGGCTTGCGGCCTCTCTCCGACACTCCCCTGGCCTTCTTTTGTTTTTGTTTCTACTTCCAACTTTCTCTTCTTCTTTCCTTCTTTTCCATTTTCCTTTCTCGCATCGCATCGCATCGCATCACCGCTCGCGGGACGACAGCACCATCCTCCGCCCTCCATCTACCTGTTCACACTCACTTGCTGCCCCGTCCCCCACGGCATTGCTAACCTGCCATCATACATCTCCAGTGACATACGCTCTTCGAATCTATCTGATACCTGCCATTGCCTAAAAAAGCATCGGCTTTCCGTTCTAGGCTCTCGATTACTACCTCTACACCGACCTCCTATCCTTGTCACACAGATCTCCCTTCGCCCACTCCTCTTATAGCCCTGCCTCGTCGCGTCGTGGGCTCTTTTCCTTCTTCTACTTCCTTCACCATCGCTGCTCGTCTAAATCTACACCCGTTTAGACCTACATGACAGCTTCGGTCGCCAGCATCGACCCTCGAATCTTGTAAGCCCACGGGCTGTGACCGACCTCGCTCTCTTCCTGCCATCGACAACGCTACACAGGAAGCCATGGCGAGCCGGCAAGAGGGTTCGTCCCGGCGCTCGGGTGGGCGGAATGTTGGCCAGTTTACCATCGACAAGGAGATTGGCAAAGGAAGCTTCGCCCAAGTCTACATGGGCTGGCACAAGGTACGATACTTCCGGGACGGCGTTGCACCAAAAGTGTGCTTGCGTCCATTGTCATCAGCGGCACTCTGTTGTTTGCCAGCGTTCAGTCTTAGCTACCTCCTTTAGCTGCGCTTGATCTCGCCCATTCTTTCGCCATTGATTTTCTTCTATCCCTCTTCATCTCCATGCCTTCTAAGAAAAGATATGTATGCTAACCATGCTTGGCTTCAACCAGGAAACAAGAGCTGCCGTGGCCATCAAATCCGTCGAACTAGATCGCCTGAACAAGAAACTGAAAGAAAATCTATATGGCGAAATCCAGATCCTCAAGACCCTCCGACACCCGCATATCGTTGCCCTTCATGACTGTCTCGAATCCGCTACACACATTAATCTTGTCATGGAATACTGCGAGCTCGGTGACCTTTCCCTCTTCATCAAGAAACGTGACAAGCTCATTACCCATCCTGCCACCCACGACATGGCCCGCAAGTATCCCAGCGCCCCTGATTCTGGCCTTCATGAGGTTGTCATCCGTCATTTCCTCAAGCAGCTGGCTAGTGCCCTGGAATTCCTACGGAGCAAGAACTACGTCCACCGAGATGTTAAGCCCCAGAATCTCCTTCTACTGCCGTCTCAAGCATTTCGGGAAAAGCGAAACCTCCCCATCATGGAGGCAAGCCAGGACTCCTTAATACCCATGTCTGGCATCGCTTCCCTACCGATGCTGAAGCTTGCTGATTTCGGATTCGCCCGCGTATTACCATCAACGTCGCTCGCCGACACGCTTTGCGGCTCACCCCTGTACATGGCCCCAGAGATCCTCCGTTACGAACGGTACGACGCCAAAGCTGACCTGTGGTCCGTCGGTACTGTCCTGTATGAAATGATTTCGGGGAAGCCCCCATTCCGCGCCAGAAACCACGTCGAACTGCTGAGGAAGATAGAAGCTGCCGAAGACGTCATCAAGTTCCCTAAAGAAGTGACCATTACGCCTGAAATGAAATCCCTAGTAAGAGGTTTACTCAAGAGGAGCCCCGTGGAGCGAATGAGCTTTGAAAACTTCTTTGCCAACCCCGTCGTCGTCAACGAAATCCCCGGACTGGTCGAGGATGACATCCCAAAGCCCGCTAGGCGTGAGCAGAGGACAGCTTCCCACGGACAGGCTGCGGCACCGTCACCACGCGTCGGATCCCTGCGAAATGGAGCCATCGAGGCTGGGTCTGCTCGGTCATCTCGAGAGCAGCTGCCTCGGTCATCACCGATAATGGAAAACACCAGCGAAGGCCGACATCGGCCGCAGTCTGGCGAGGTCCACAAACGGCCAAGCTCACCTCGAGAGACCGGGGCTGGTCTGGGCATCCAGCGCCCACCACCGGCACCCCATGCCGCATCACTCCCAAATCATCCTAGGATATCCAAAACATCTCTGCATAACACCTCGCCTCCTTCATCTCTCATCCAGGACATTCGCAAGGCTCGAGTGCCGAGCGGCAAGGTTTTAACGGACGAAGAGGAAAAGGCCGCGCAGGATGTCATGTTTGAGAGAGACTATGTGGTTGTGGAGAGAAGGCACGTCGAAGTAAACGCCCTTGCAGATGAGCTGGCCGCCAACGAAAAGCTCGCATCCCAAAGCCCTTCGTTTCTTAAAACAAGGCAGCTGGCTCGCCACTACTCACAGCAGGGAGCACCGACTTCCACCACCGGAGCCACTGCAGCTCCTGCATCGCGAACGCAGCTTGTAGCACAGGGCCGAGCCCCCCAAGGCCGCCGCCCGTCATGGGAGAAGGCCTTATCTGCGAGCCCCGGATCTGCTTCGAGTGCCATAACCAAGGCCATCCAAGATGCCAGTTTGCGTCTTTTCGGAGTCAGGATGCCCATTCGGCCCAAGGGACAATCCCCACCGATGTATCATCCCTTCCCGGCATATCCGACGCCGCCAACTTCGGCGGGACTGATCGCAGACGGGCGAAGCATCCACTCGGAGGACGAAGATGGCCGCTCTGCGCAGGCCATCGAAGACTTTGCCACCCGAAGTGACTGCGTTTACGGGTTTGCCGAGGTCAAGTATAAGCAGCTTGTTCCTATGGCGCCATCCACAAACCATGGGCTTGGTGGCATTGCAGCCGAGCAGATGTCAGCAGATGACGATGGACTGACGGCAGAAGCCATCGTGGCACTCTCCGAGGAGGCTTTGGTGCTTTATGTGAAGTCGCTTTCTCTCCTGGCTCGGGCCATGGACATTGCCAGTATCTGGTGGTCGATGAAGAGCAAGGGAGATGTCGCCAATGGTCTTTCGGCAGCCGTATCCCAGTCTATAGTCCAGCGCATCAACGCGGTTGTGCAGTGGGTGCGCCAACGCTTCAACGAAGTTCTGGAAAAGTCTGAGATTGTACGCCTAAGGCTGATTGAAGCTCAGAAACTGCTGCCAGAAGACCATCCGAGCCACCCATCAAACCAAGGAGTGGATTCGATTATGTCTTCAACAGGGTCCGCAATGAAACAGGTGTATCTGACGCCAGGCATCACTGCCGAAAGGCTAATGTATGATCGGGCTCTCGAGATGAGTCGAGCCGCGGCTATTGACGAAGTCACAAACGAGAACTTGTCTGGCTGCGAGATTTCATACATTACTGCCATTCGCATGCTTGAGGCTGTATTGGACAGCGGCGATGATTCCAACTTCTCGAAAAAGGTGGCATCTGGCAGCGAAATCATAAGGGAGAGTTGCACCGATCTCGAGAGTGACGAGGAGGCTCATATCAAGAAAAGTAAGTTTACACTCTCACATTTTCCTTTTGAAACATCAGAGCTGACCCCATCAAACAGTGATTTCCATGATCTCTGGCAGGCTTTCCGTCGTCCGCAAGAAGCAGCGGCTCATTGACGAAGCAAACGCCAAAGCACAAGCGATAAACCGCCGACGCAGTGGCGATGTTACGCCTCGCAGCCCCCTCTCACAAGGATCTGCATAAAATAATCAGAGCGAAGAGGGAAAAAACTCTTCAAAAAGCGAATGGCACGAAAGGCACGAATGGCGCGAATCAACTATAGCACTTGACAACCATACGATACACAAAAGGCAAAACACTACATAACACCGGAAGCCTCACGGCTGGACATCAGTTTGGACAAAACCAGTATTAATCCTCAAAGTCCAACTGGATTTTATTTCGATTTATTCAATTGGTTTATTTCTTTTCCAATATTTTTTTTCATTTCGGTGGCGTTTGACGATGCTTGGCAAATCCAAGCACAACGGAGAGAATCCCCGCTCAGGTACTGGTAGCGGGCGTTTGACTGATTATTTGACATTCAACTTTTGAGGGTTTTCGGTATACTCATGGCCCAGGCGTTTGCTTATTTCATATTCTTTTCATGTCGTTGGGTTTCTAGCCGCGCTAGAGCCCGATTGACCTTATTTACTGCAATCTTTCAAAGATTTTATTGCACTTTCTTTCAGCAGCCATGACCGGCTACTGAGGCGCAGACGACCGATGAAGGAGTGGGAAGCGATTGCGAACATATGGTTGCACTTTATCTGGAGTGTCTTTGGGGAGAGACTTTTCTTTGCATCGCTCTTCTTCCTAGACGTATGACATTAGCAGTCCGCTGTCTCTCACTTATGCCGTTGCTGTTGTGAACTTTCTTGGATTCGGGACATGGGGATTAGGACTTTTGACCTTTTTTTTTTCTTTTTCTGTTTCTTTCTTGGGTCACGGCATCGGTTTGCGGATTAAGGAATTGTTATGGGAAAGGCTCGTTCTCATGACCATCAAAGTCATGGGTAGCGGTGGGATCGGACTATGGGCGAGGACTGGTTTTTGTGCGTGAAAGTGAATTTGTATGATTTTTAGATTGTTGCGTTTCAGCGCGTAACCTAGTCCACGATACCAATACCATTGCTGCCGAATGTTTTTACATACAGACAAAACGCATGCGTTTGCGCCCTCTTATCTCTTGTTTGTGACGTCGTGTTTGAATGAAGCTATGGGGATACCCGCAGGGTTCGACCCGTGTTGTTTGCGTCGATTACCAGGATTTGGACAGGCATAAGTATTTGACTGTACTTCTGTTTTACTTTTGGACACTGAGGTTGCGTTTGTGGTATTCCATTCTGATGGTGTTTATAAAGACGGGCTGAATATTGTCCAATTCAAGCTCTATTATATGATCCTTACAGATACTATCCGCAGGAAGCCATCTCAGCAAACAACTTTCATTCCAACTGCCACAACGAAGAACAAAGGAGAGAGGAAGAAAAGAAAGGCCAATGAAAGAGAAGACCAATCTTCTCCTGGCCGTCAGCCATGTCGCCGCGCTACGCCGGCAAGAAACTAAACGCCAGCAACAAGAGCAACAAGAGCGGGAGCACAACCAGCAAGAATTGATGCTCAAAGCGGAAAAAGAAGCCAAAGAGGAAGAAAAGGAAAACGCCAAGTTCAAAAAGTTGGAAGCCCAAGCAGCCAAGGGAAGGGTCGAAGCCTGGAAACGCATCCACGATGCAAAAGCGCGCCGTAACTATTTTTCTCGAGCGCAGGTCGATGAGGAAGTCATGCGGATGGTGGAACAGGTAGATTGCGATTTAGGGCTGGCGAAGCGTCGAATGGAGGATGGCACGGAGGAGCCGCATGAGGAGTGGCGGGCGAGGATGCTTGTGCTGCGAGAAGCGATTTATCGGCTGTGGAACGAGAATGAGGAGAGGATCAGGGGGGCTCTGCCGCGGTATGTGGAGGGCGTTGCTGTGAGGGACGGGATTGAGCCGCCAAAATTTTTGGGGGAGCGGAGGATGAGGATTTCGGGGCTGGGGGCGTGTTTTCAGTGTTTGATGGAGGAGATGGTTTGTTCGAGGGGGGTTGTTACGGGGAGGGGGGAGGAAAAGAAGGAGGGGAAGGGATGTGAGAGGTGTGAGAGGAAGGGGTATAGGTGTATTGTTGAGTATGGGGTTGATAGCGATGATGAGGAGGGGAAACAAGGGGATGACAAGAAGGAGAAGACGTATGAATGGGGCTGGGTGGATGAGGCGGCTGATAGGGAGCCGGTGGGAGAGACGTTGGAGATGTGGAAGCGCAGAAAGAGGGGGGATAGGCTGGAGGTGATTGGGAGTGGGTTGCAGTGGGTTGAAGCGGGAGGGTTTGCGCTGCCAAGTTGTGAGAAGGTGAGGAAGCCTGTTGAGGGTTGAGGGTTTGCTCTGTTGTTTGGTTGTTGATAGTTTGGGTTCAATGGGCGGATGGTGTTTAGCATTTACAACACAAGGAGCGTTTTCTTAGATGAAAAATAAATCACTCTGTTCAATTTCTTCGTCTTAGTTGTAGAGGGCAGCACCACTTGAAACAATTGTATCTTGGAAAACTTTGTTGAATGTAAGTCTCTTTGTTGTGTATCAGGTATAATAGCACCAGTCTGCCTATGCTCTTGAAGCAAGATGAAGCTTTCATATCTACTCTCATTGAAATGAGATTCGAAATTAAAAACTATTCCCGCGCGCAAAAAAAGGTCAAATCATCCTTGATAGCATACACTCACCCAGCGTTTGTCTTCGCCAGCTTGTTGCTGAGTTACATTCCAACACATGTGATATCAATCTCTCTTGGCCCTAGTATCTCTATCTCCCATAGTAATCTGCATGTTATCTGTCAAAAACTTGGCATCTAGCCGCTCCAGCTCTGCTAATACTACTTCTCGGTGGTGCTTGGGGTCTGCGTTTGTCGGCTTCAAATGCTTGTCAAGTTCAGTGAGAGGGAGTTGGAGGACATCACAAACTCGCATTTGTTGAGCCGTTAGGATTCGAGCCTCTACTTTCCGATATCCCTTATGACTACTATTGTGCAGCGTCTTCAAGGTCTTTTTCGTCTTACAAGCCTCCAGGTAGCCCAGTACCGGTTTAGCTTTAGGCAGTGGCGCTTTAAATTCTTGGTGTGGTGACGATAGGTTTGTTGCCAGCTCTAGCTCAGCCAACTTTACATCTTTGTGGGCGCCGCCAAAATAAATTGACTTCTCTATACAAGATGACGAGTCCCACGGAGTTGAGTTTTCGCCGCCATCGGCAGAATTTTTGCCAGGTGTTGACGTGGGTGAGAAGAGTTGAAGGCCAGCCAAGTCCCATGGCATCGGCTTGAGTTGGGTACTGTCACTGGGAGCTTCTTCGAAACATCGCTTGTCGAATTGCTGGAAAAATTCGAAATGCTTCTGTGGAGTGCAAAACCAGTCGTGGCACTCCGCTTCGGCAGCAGTGATTCGGTTTATCGGTGTCAGCTGAAGACAAGCTGAAGCAAATCGAAGGCTATTTGAGGAAAGCTTTGGAGACACCACTTGGATTATTGCCTTGACTGCTTTCTCAAGAGATGATTGGTCCATTTGTGTGAGACTTCCAAAACCGTCGGCATCAAGGGTAAGTAGCCGAAGTGTTACCAGGCCAAGAGACCACATGTCAACCGCCGTAGTTTGAGCTTCCATACTTGAGGAAACCTCACTGCAATGTATCAGCCTGGGTTTCATCAAATGAGAGGAACACCTCAGACTTACGGGGCCTTGTAATCGATTGTGCCAACATCTGTTATCATTCTGCTCCGGCGAGGTACAGCGCAAGCACCAAAATCCGAGAGCATAACTCGATGGCAAGATATTCTCGGAGAATATGCCAGCAAGATATTTTCCGGTTTCAGATCTCGGTGAATGATGCCTTTTATGTGAAGATAGGCAAGCCCGCGTACTACTTGTCGTAGAATGATTCGGCAATCGATCTCTTCAATAATTTCATGGCGGTTCATAAAGGAGACGAGATCACCACCAGACGCGAGATCGGTGAAGATGTATCTGGATGAAATCAGCCGCAGCTCCATTTCGAATCGTTAATTATTTTTGACTTACAAGGACTGTGGCGAGATAATGGCATCAATGTATGGTAAGATATTGGGCTGTAAGCAAATTAGTATCGTAGAAGAGTGTCGAACTTCCGTTTGTAGAAGACTCACATGCTTAAGCTGTCGAAGGACATCAATCTCTTGGAGCTTCCTATAAAGCTCATCTTGAGGCATCTTTCCATCCTGTCTTCCTAAGTTGACTAATTTGCAAACAAGCTGTCGCTTAGTCTTCGGCTCCAGAGTTAGGTAGACAGCTCCCTCTGCCCCGGTGCCAAGGCAGCGCGGAGTCAAGATGTATTTATCTTCGAAAAGCTATGCTAGTTAGATGGTAAGCATGGCTTGGGACAGTGGGAGACTAACTTGGCATTCTTCCGTTTGAATGACAGTTAATGGACGGAGAGGGGGCTTTCGAGGTTGGTGAAAATGAAACTTCCAATGGGGTCGAATCTCGATAACATCGCCATCTTGTAGGAGATACCCTGAGGATATCTGGGGCCCGATGCCGATAAGCACTCCGTTGACCAATGTCCCATTGACAGATTTGCGATCTCGCACATAGACGTGGTTAACTGATGGCTCGTAGACAATCACATAGATCTCGCAGTGATTTCGTGATATGAGATTGGTCGAGTCTGTTTGAATAGAGAAAGAGCTGCAGTCACTGTTAGATATCCATTGATTCAGCATTCTATACATCGCAAGCTTACTTTGCATCAGGATCACGTCCTATCTTGAAGATTTCCTGCTCCTAGATCGGAATGTCTTCATCAAGCTGGTCACTGATGCGATCGTCCACGAAGCGAAGATGCGCGGCTGCCAATTCGAGATACTGATCACTGGTGTTATCTAATTGATTCGCTGCGCCCGTCATGGTGAACGATTGCATCAAGCTCGTGGTCTATGAAAGCCGTCACACGAAATTGTAATCTCCAGTCTACGAAAAGTTATTCAAGTGAGAAGAAAAAAAAATGTATGAGTGCATTCCGAAATCTATCAAGGTACAAACTGCTGCCTTCCTCATCTACCCTAGAATTTCGCAGAAAAGGCCGACTTACAACGCACCTGCCATCTCAGGTGCTGTGATGGAGCTACATACAGTACAAATTCTCCAAAATACGGCTTTGGCACTGTAGCTGCTCTGATTCAATGTACGGCCCAGGTGAGGGGTCATCACGTGATGCTTGGGGGGTTTGTGCCCTACGGAAGACTTGTTCAAAGTGCTTGAAATTCCCCCGCTCCGCGAAAGCTTCTTTCCTTGTTACCTCATCCCAACAACGATTCTCATCAAAGAACAAGTAAGACAGCCTTCTCCGCAGCCAATTTCATGGCATTTTGCAGCTCGAGAGTGCATTGGAATTGCTCCAACGCATCCCGATGATGCGAATTGATGTTTGCGCCGGCGCAAGAATCACATTGCTAACAAGAGCTTAGACGCATCGTTCAAGATGAGAGCCAAATGGAGGAAGAAGCGCGTTCGTCGCCTTAAGCGCAAGAGAAGAAAGATGAGGGCTCGCTCGTAAGTGTCTTTGAATCGAATTGTCCAGATGGGATTGGAAGTGCTAATTGAGATATCAGCAAATAAACGACTCGCTCCTCTACCTGACTTGACACATCTTTCACATACAACATGAGTTCACGATGAAACGACGCCAGCTCGGCTGCTGCACCAACCTTGGATATGCGACGATCGAATTGGATTTTGCATGCCGGTGCGCCTCGCCAATTCAGCTCTGGTCGTCTAGGACGAACGCGAAAGATGGGGCTTGACAACTTCAGTCGGGTGAAAGCACCGTTTTGATGGATCGCAGGCCATGAAGCAAAATAACTGCTGCCATAGGCGCGCTTAAGATTGATCTTCGCTACTTGACAACAACAAAAATGCAGATTTTACTTCATTTCCAAACTAGTTTTGAGCTCTTATGTGTGACGTCTTGAATATGATTGTAGTAGCTGAAATAGCTTGGGAGAGCTATCGGCATCCAACCTAAAGCTCGTGTGACCATGGAATTTTGGATCCAATTTGTGTGTGCGAGCTGATAGCGCATTATCGATACGAAGCAGAGCTCTGGAGCTATGCTCGCATCCCTGCAAGTTTGATAACGTCACTCTGGATCAGTGGGGTAGCACTTGCGGCTGGTGCGGATCAACGCCGGCCAATCCTTTTGTCTTGGCTTGGGCAGCAGTGTCAGAAGAAACAGGGTCCGCAAAATGAAAATGTCTACACAAGCTGAAAAATTGAGTTTTTGGGTATAGAATTTAGTGAGAATATTTAGTATTTGAGCAATGCCTCCAATTGAAAAAGTATATACTGACCGCTTGTAGATTCCACGTTTTTCACTTACTGATATAGGCTATAAGTCGCGCGGCCTGGACCAGATCCATGGCGTAGCTAAAGTATAGTTACCAGCTAATAGAAAACTGGCTTTGTTGTATAGGTACATATAGATCGACATGTCAGATAAGGATGTTTGAAATCATGTGAACTAGAGCTAAAGAGAGTCTCTAGTTTTATAGGTACCTAGCTGTAGCACAGCACCAAGTTTACCAACACGTTGTCGTTACACAATATGTTTAGAGGTTTGTAACCTTTCACTCATAACACTAAATCCAGGTTTACTATTGCGCTCAGTAGGTAGTAGATATACCAAATGCACCATCTTTCGGTCTGTAACTGCCCATGTCTTCAGCTACCATATGAATTCCTACTCTTTCTGTGCTCTGCGGTAGCAGCCCAGGACTTTGATCCTCTTATACGGTCATTCATTTGCAATACTGCTGATAATAGCCAGTAATGCTGCGAGAACTATTATCCGTCAGTTTCCAGCTTATAATGTCACACTCTGTATGAATAGTGAAAATTTACGGCCCCCAGCAGTCACAACATACGACGCAGTGCCCCAAGCGGTCGGTATAGTTGCGAGGTCTTTCCAGGCGGCTGAGTTAAGCCATAGTCCTATTGCTAAGCTCAGCAGCACTGGAAAGAGTACCGCAATTGAGATTCTCGTTGGCGACCAGTCTAGCACAACCTCAATTGAATACATCCCGTCAACCACATCGAGCGAACTATTATCCAACGTCTGGTGCATCCAGTTCGCCCAAGACAGTGCAATATGGTCGGGAACAGACCAGCTCTTATACATATGCAGAAGAACCTGCAAGTCCGCAGCCCCATTCTTATCAAGATGAATGCGTTCATGGGTTCCCTCTTCATGGTTGCACTATATCATGTTACAAAAGTCTCTGAAAATTGACCACCAAGAAGTACTTACTCTATACAACCTAAAGCTCTTTACCTGTCTTAAAGAGAACAAGGCACTGCTCAGCCCGCGTAGTTGGAAAACACCCCAGCGGAGCTCATTGAAAAGTATAAATGGGTTGAAAACGAACACAATTTGTTCATGCGGATTATGGTGACCACGGCTGAATATACCTAGGGTCACATATGTGGGTTGAATCAGGATCTCACGCTCAACGATCGAGATACGCGTGAACTCAAGTCCTGAATACTTGATGCCCCTTTGCTGATGAGTGATGCCTCTGAGCTCATCGTCTTGTTGAGCCGGAGGCTCCCGCCTATTTTCTTCGTCCGGTATCGGACCGGTTTTCGCCTCATACGATAGTCCCGAAGCAAGAATCGAGAGACACGATAGTCCCGGAACAGCACACAATAATTTCGTGAAAAAATTATTGCCATTGATGTTTATTGTCTCCAGCACCTGCCTCTGCGGGTGAGACTTGAGTAACTTTCGAAATGCAGTAGGGTATGGAAATGATATCGTAGTTTCTTTCTCAACTACAGCCTTACTGTCAAGGCTCTTCAGACAAGGAATTCCCACTTTCCGTTTCAGCCTGAGTGAGGAGCTTCCCAGTTGAGACCGAATACACGGATTCTTCTGCTCAAGGGTCGCGTCGTAGGTTAGAACGGCTAGACCAGGCACTACCATAAACCATAGATGCCAGCTTCTTGATGGGATAAGTTCAACCGGTGCTCGCTGGGCTAGTGAGGTGGTTTCGGTCTCGTCAGTGGGAGTTGCCATTTCCAGCCCGTGTCTCGCCAACAAGGCCAATTTCTGAAATATGTATATCTTGATCTTGAGCAGAGAGGCTTAATTGCCATATTTAACATTTTGGAAGGGAGTCCAAGTCGCGTCGCCCATCGCCAGCTACGCCATTGCTGACGAGTGCTCCGATACACAAGCGCCAAATGCTGCGATTTATGTGGTATATTTGCATCAGGAGGATTCGATTGGCATTGATTGGCTGTGAAGGAATCGTGGCCAGTGAGTTCTTATTTCTGGTGTAACTATGTATTGCCCGACTCTGGTTTCGTGTAGATTCAGTGTCACGCTTGCTGGCTGGTTGCTGTAGGGAAAGTCTACGATTCAGGAGTCACAACGACCGTTTTAGGCGGATAAGAATGCTGTGTCTATCTCACAGAGGAAAGGTATACGCGCGCATCTGGCGACTAATTGGCGAAGTCCACATAGGTAGACTTGTCCAATCTCACCATGCAGCCTCCATGCGTTGGAGTATTTCACATGCTAGCCAGCTGTACAGCGAACATAATTGATGCATATTTGAGCTTCCAGCTTCGCTATTGGCCCACCCGTTGATTCCTGCATATATTCCCATTCGGCAATTCAAGGACCTTGTTGTACCTGATTGGCTACAAGCATGGTGCTTTGTTCTCAAATACTGCTTGATCACCGTAAGATCTGTAGATGCATCTGGACGGCCAAGCTTGGCTAGGTGCTGTTAGCTTCCATGTCTCTGCAGCCTTTAAAACGTCACTCTAGATTAGTGGGGTGGCCCTCTCACCGCCCGCCCGGATAAATACCGGCGAACTTTTTCCTGCCGCCCGATAACCAAAAAATTTTGGAACAGAAAGATCCCACCTCGAATTCGTCGCCCAACTGAAGAGACACTGCAGAAATTCGGAGCAAAAATGTCTGATCTGAGCCATAAGAAGAGGAAGAGGGATGGGGAGAAATCGGGGTCGTCGAAGAAAAAAGTCGTTCTCGACGCACCTCATCCAATTGCTACAGTCTCTTCTGTTCTTCGCCCAAAGACATGTCCTCCTGTGATTGGTATGTTATGCGCCGGGTTGATTTGAGTCCTCCACGCATTTGTTGATGAAGATATAGCGAATACCCCAGGCATGGAAATGCCCTCGAATCTCACGTTTCACTCATATCTCCCTAAAAATGCGACCTCTTCAAAGTCAAAAAAGACCGCCATCGAAAAGGGACTGCTGCTTCACTCCTCAACACACCGAAATCTGGATTATACAGCAAGAGAAGAAGAACGAGGCTCGAAGCCACTTTTGAACCACTATATCGGCATCTACGATCCTAAAACCGGCAAATTACAGGTTGTCGAGGCCAAAAAGATGGTTGTGCGTGGAACCGTCCGATCGAAGCAGGTAGCAACAGAGCAAGAGGGCAAGAAGGTAAGCGTTTATGCTTCTCAGAATCAAAACCGCCATATGTGGAATTGGGCAAAATTTTAACATTCTTGCAGAGCATGCTGGATCAGAGAACGGACCTTGGTCAGACTTTCGGAACCAAAAAGGCCAAGAAGGCTATCCAAGACAAGGTATTGAACGCCATTGCTCCGCAGAGGAAGCCTGGCGACACCAGCACCCCCGTCAAGCTGGACGATGCCTCCAAAGCCATTCTCAACTCCATTGGCGCGGTTACATCAACAATGGCCTCGAGAGAAGAGCTGCAGGCAGCCGTCGACGAAGCCAAGCCGGTGCCCAAGGCAAACGTCGATGCCAGCGAAGTCTACGACGTATACCGCCCCGAAGAACTCATCGGAGCTGACATCATTAACCTTGTGCCTATCCGAGAATGGCAAGAAAAGGCGAAGCATGGCGAAAGTATCCAATTCCAATCTCGATATGTTGTCTCTCGTGTGCAAGCCATTGCCTCCAACGACTCTGCAGAGATGCGATTGCGCGTGCTGAGATATCTCTCCATTGTCCTCCTGTTTTACCTCTACTCAAAGCCTGGCCGCCAAAAGGGCACTCGACAGCTGCCTCCCCGAGAAAAGCTCCGAGAGCTACTGGCACCCGCACCCGAAGCAGTCGTTGAGAATATTCGTCGCAAATTCTCAGACGGCGGCCAACTGAGAAAGTTCCACATTGATCTCCTGATTGCGCACTGCTGCGCATTGGCTTGTATCGTCGACAACTTTGAAGTGGACACCCAGGCTCTGAAGGACGATCTTAAGCTGGACCAGAGAGTGATGAACCAGTACTTCCACGAGATTGGAGCAAGAGTTAAGCCTGTCAAGGATAAGACTGAGGAGCGAACTCTGCAAGTGGCGAAGCTAACGCTTCCTCTGGATCTTCCAAAGCAGCGACAAATCCGAGCGCGCCGATAAAAGGGGTGATTTTGTACGAGAAACGGCATAAAACGGCGGCAAGGTTTGAAGTTTAGAAGGGGGAATGATGTCGATTACATGAGCGGGCGCAGCTGGAGAGACGTGTATATAACATTTCTGTCATTCAACTGCTCTAAATGCATGTCAACAGCATGTGGGCATAATTTCGTTTATAAAGCATTTCATTACACCTGGAGTATTGTACCATACGTGGTGCCTGATACTCGGGGTTTCAAGTATACATAGGTAGATCATAGTGGGCAGAATTAAAAGCAAAAGCAGCTTATAGATTTCTTACTTGCATATCTCAACGTCTTGGACATATCGCCAGAGTAAGCAAGCCAATGGGCTTTTGGCGGCACGTCTGCCGTCGCAGCCCCGCAGACTCGGCCCGTAGACCTCGGTATGTCTGGGGAAGCCCTGCATCAACCCCGGAACAGTCAATCGCGAAATCTCACCTGGCAATGTTACATATTAAGTGGGCGATCTCTAGATCATTTGCTTTACTTGCTGGTAGCGCAATATCGTTCTTTTAAAGATTGACATAGCTCTTCGCTCTTTTCTAGCTTTGATATTAAAAAAAAACATATACACGTATACAATGTCGGCCTCAGATTCTCCCAGCATCATCTCAATCGAGTACCGCGGCCGCGTCGCCGTCATCACCATTGCCAACGCGAAGAAGCTCAATGCGCTTAACCAGACGCAGTACTATGAGCTCTCGCAGGCGATGAGGGAGGTGGCCAAGCACGACGAGGTCTATGTCACTGTATTGCTCGGCAAGGGACGCTTCTTTTCTGCGTAGGTCATTCATTTCCTTATAGTCTTCACTTTTGATTCTTGCATTTGTGTGATGAGACGTGAAGACTCTCAAAGGGAGACATATTATACTATGAATATGAGAAATGAATATGTTACAAATTGATACATCGCTAACAAGCATATACAGCGGCGCAGACGTCTCCATCGGCAGACCAAATCCCACCGACCCCAACGAAGCCCGCAAGCAGCTCCTCCAGACCTTTGTCGCCTTCAACCTCAACATCACAGAAGCATTTGCCGCGCACCCCAAAATCCTCGTCGTCGGGCTCAACGGCCCCGTCGTGGGACTCACCGCCGCCATCATCGCCCACGCCGACTTCATCTACTGCGCGCCGCACACATTCCTCCTCACGCCCTTTTCGTCAATCGGGCTCGTGGCAGAGGGAGGCTCTTCGCGGGCGCTCGTCACGAGACTAGGACCCGCGAGGGCGAACGAGGCGCTGATTATGAGTAAGAGGATTCAGAGCGCGGAGCTGGAAAAGTGTGGGTTTGTGAATAAGGTGTTTGAGGAGGTGAAGCAGGGTGAGGATGAGAAGTTTAGGGAGCTGGTGCTGAAGGAGGTGGATGAGAGGCTGGGGGACCATCTTGTGGGGGACAGTTTGCTGGGAATCAAGAAGTTGATTAGGGGGCCGGAACAGAATATTGTGAATTTGAATAATTTCAATGAGGTGTTTGCTGGGCTGGAGAGGTTCATGACGGGCGTTCCGCAGGAGGAGTTTAGGAAGCTTGGGAGCGGCGAGAAGAGGCACAAGCTGTAGTGCGGCACCAATTCTGTTTCTTTTCTTTTCCGTAGGTGTGTAATTGAGATGCAGGCGTGATGAATGGCCTATAGAGTGAAAAGACAACTCGCTATTATATCTGTGTGTTTATTATGCCAGCAATCCAAAAAGCAGACTCGTTCGGCCCCAGAAGCTCTTGGCCGCCTTGCCGACATGCTGTCGCGAGGCATCTTCCAATCCAGTGCGCTCATAAACCGCGTCTTCCAATTTTTGAAACTCTTGTGCTGTATCTCCTGCTATGTTTCCGATGGAGAGGCGTAGAAGTGAGATATCGAAAAGCCATTGGATGCAAAGATCTCGCAATTGCTCGTTGCCAGAGGGTGAGCCAACTTCCTTTTCAACCTCCTGTTCTTTCTCACTGCTGCCCGGTTCTTCCCTTTCCCCATCATCTTCCTTCTTCTCTCCGTCACTTTCTTCCTGCTTCTCCTCCTCTTTTGTTTCTGAATCTTGCTCTGTGTCGACCTGTTGCTCTTTTGCTTCTTTCTCATTCTCATCCTGCGACTCCGTCACCTCTTCAGCATCCTTATTCACTTCCTTGACCTCTTCGTTGAATTGTAGGCTCTCTAACTCTTGGCTCCACGCCTCACACAGTCGCTGACCAACATGCTTCTTCAAAGCGGACATTGCAGCCGCGGTCCACAAGTCAACTCCGGCATCCGATAAGGACAGCAGGAGGCTGTGGAGGAATTGAAACGTCTGTGGGGAAGGCTGATTTGGCAGTGCTGGGTCGCCTTCCCACAACGGTCTTCCAATTGCAACCCTCCCAGAGAGTCCCGTCTGCACAAACTCGTCCACGGACGATGCTGATGTCGATGCTATAATCGTTTGGTGAAGGGTAGGGACCATATCTAGCCCAAAACTTTTGAGGTTATCGCGCTGTGGTAGCTGACGACGAATATCACGCAAGACTCGAACCAAGTACATGGCGACATCACTCCTGCTGCTACTCTCGGATTTGCTGTCCCACAGCTGCTGAAGCTCCTTTCCAAGCGATTCAAAAGACGCGTCAAGGCTGTCATCCAACTTTTGTTGCAGCATTTTCGGATCGTCCTTGCTCAACAGCTGCTGTCTCGCCTCTATCGTCTCTTCATCTTCAATCTCATCATAGTCGTTATCCCAGCGCTGTTTCTCCAACTGTCCGACCACCTCCTTCACGTCGTCGATAATGTGAAACCAAGAGGAATAGCAATTGAGCGCCTTGGACACAGCGTCGCTACGACCGTAGAATCGTGACGCCACTTCTTGTAAGAATGGACGAGCTCCGATAGCCAACGCATCCTCGTAGCCCTCTTCATCCCAAAGGCCTGGTAGTTTACCAGTCACGCCATCCTTCCAGCTTTCCAGCGTGGCCTTGACCTCTGAGCCTACAAGACGAAGTTTGGAAACCTTTGTGTCCAGAACGGCGAGCATCTGCGCATTGATGGTTTTTCGTAAATTATTCTGCATCTCTTCGGGGTCGATACCTCGCACTTTACTTCCTTCGCGTATCCAAAGCTGGAGAAGATTCGTCCGTAGCTCAGTTATGGATTTGAAATCGTGGATTGGCTCCAAAGTCTTCTTCAGCCCATCGAGCAGCGCATGTTCGCTCTTTTCGATCCAGCTGTCAAACATCTCCCTTGCCTGAGTTCCATCAAGATCATCATGACGAATAAAGGGCGTATAGTATTGGATCTCTTCACCACACCATCTCTCAAAAATATCGAGTCGCAACCCTTCGAGGTTCTGTAAGGAGGCATCTTCCAGAAGAGGCTTCTTTGTTAGGGCATTGAGTGCTTGGGAGAGTTTGTTCGGCACAAAGGCTTGTACGTCTAGTAAAGTTCGTGCATACAGTCTCAGGCTTTGGATGACATCGTCCGGACTCCTAGCTCGCCCGTCTTCCTCCTCGTAATCCAGAGCTACAGCGATCGCCTTGAACCTGACTTCCAAAAAGTGCCGCAAAGTGTCTTTGGTTCCAGAGCTGTTCGCAAGACTGTGGGCCGCAAGAGCCTTCAAAACGTCGTCCCTATCGGAGTCGGGACCAGCTTTCTCCATGGTCTTCTCCAGAGTCGTCCTCAGCCGCCGACGCAAGTTATCCAGCTTCTTCTTGGAAGCGTCGGCAGCTTGTCGAGCCTCGTCGCTGGGAAATTCATTCCCCAAGCTATTGACCAAGAGGCGGCTCAGCACCCACACCTTGGCTGCCAACACCAGCCTGTCGCCGATCCTGACACTCTCGTCCAGCTCCCCGCGGCCTCTGAGCAGTCTACCAACCAGTAGCAGACATCCGTCCAGCAACCTCCTTCGAGCTGACTCGGCAACTTCTGATTTCTGCTCCTTGCGCACAAACTTGGCCAATCCAGCAACCTTTGTCGACACCACCGCCCTGCCGCACCGCCAGCCCATGTTGCCCAAGAGCTCCTGTACGGCATCGTTGTCGCTGCGCATCTGGACAATCGTGTCGGCAGTGCCAAGCAGATCACGGTAAGATCCGCCTACCCGCGTGCGCAGGCGGCTTGCCTTATCTTCGATCTCGACATGGAGGGCCTTGTGGATGGAGCGAATCTGGGGGAGCGTATGGTTCGCGGAGAAGATCTGGTCGGAAGTGGTGAACTTGGTGGCATCGGGGGTGGCCATTGTGGCCCTGTTTGCGCGTGGCTGCGAGGTCTGACGGAGGAATGTTATAGAATTGGCGTCATTGGGGCATGTACTGGCTGTTGCTCAAGGAAATTGTTGTCTCGAGATTGCGTGCTGAGGTGGTGTTAACAGCAAGTAGAGAGAGCTGGAGGATGAAGTGGGTGGGGCTCGAAATGACAGCTTTTAGTGCTATCTGTGCTTCAACACCACTACATTACCCTGAAACCCAAGCATCAGATGACGATTAAAGCAAGCTTGTAAGACGCATACACATGGCGAAAAGAAGAACATTTCTATACAATGAATACTTATGTAGTTGGCTTGAAATGGAAAAAGTGCTTGAATAACAGTCACACCTGTGTGCATATACAAGTTTATAAACCGACTCAGAGTCCCGTAAATGATATTTGCCATTAATCGCATGTACATGTATTCTACAGCTTCGTACTCTTGATGACGGTAGCGTTGATACCACTGAGTTCTCCCCGGTAACCTCCCTTGGGCTCGCCACCTTGCCACACCGGCTTCATGCTCTTCAGCTTCTTCTGCTTGGCCTCGAACTGCTTTCTCCTCCTGACTCTGGGGTTGCGGACGTCCTTGCTTCTTCTGGGCGCCAGACCCTTGTTCTTCTGGATGGCGTATGTAATCTTTCGCTTGCCGTCCTCGCCAATCTCCTCCGTCTCTACCACTCTGTCGGACTTGCTTGCGGCCGCGTAGGCTGCGTATCGAGCAGCCTTGTCGTCCTTCTTGGCCTTGGAAGCGTTTGCTACCATGTCGTAATAGTCATCCTCTTCATCGCGCACTGCATTGGCAGTCTTGGAATCCTCGTCGTCGCTATCCTCGCCGAGATTCGCGCCGAGTTTGGAATCTCTCTTGCCTCGCTTTTCAGCTTCACGCAGGAGACGTGCTTGGCGGTCTCGCAAGCGCTCGCGGTGAGGAATATCCATATCACCACCTGCATCGCGACCAGCACCGGCGCGGCGGTTGGCCTTCTGCACGATCTGGGAGGTGTAGAACTTCAAGCTCTTCTTGCGCGCCGCCTTATCAGCTGCTGCGCGAGCGTCCAAAGCCTCCTCTTCACCAAAGTCTGAGCTATCATCGTCATGAGCATTGTTTGTCTGATCCGTCTTCTTTGCCTTTGACTTTGTGTTGATGGGCAAGTCATAAAGATCAGCAACTGTCTCTTCGATTGCCTTGGCCTTTGCCAGCTTCTTCGCCTTCTTCGCCGCCGCCGCAGCATCTGCCTCTCTTGATTTCTTGGACTTCTTCTTAGTCTGGGCAGCTGATTCATCTCCATTCAACTGAAGAATAGAGTCAACATCTTGTGCCAATGATTCCTCGGATGTCTTCAGGGATCGCATGTCTTTGACACGCTCCCATGCCTCGCGGCACTGGATGAGAGTTTCCATCACATCGTGTTCACGCAGCTCGGCAGGATCGATGGTTCGTTGTGCCTTGGCAGCGTCGCGAGCTGGAGATGTTAGGATGGCCAAGTAGCTGGCTAGCGAGGCAACGTAACATCCTAGCACCCAGTACTTAATGGCAGCCAGAGACTTGGGGGCAGAAACTTTGGCGTCTGTCCTCAGGATGTCCAGCTGTGGCTGCAGGTCTTGGAAATCTTTGACGAGATAGTCGAATTCGGGGTATCGAGCAGATAACAGTTTCAGTCGTTCCTCTGTGCTCATATCATCAGTCACCTCGACCTCTTTAAGGACCTCGGTCACTGTTTCGGCTTCTTCTTTGTCTTCTTGCTCGCCGGTTAGCCACTCATCTCCATCGAAGATGAAATCTTCCTCGGCCATCTTGGCCAATTTCTTTTGCTGTATTCTCTTCGCTTCGGTTTCTTCCTCCAACGCATCTGCCTCTGTTTCGATGTTGTCGGCATTGTAGTACTCCTTCTTGGATGCACCCCACCACCCCTCCTCCTCGCCCTCTACTCCATTGGCTTCATCCGCTTCATCTTCTGAGTGATCTTGCGCAGCCTTTCGTTTTGATTTACTCGGTTGGGCCTTGTGGTTTGAGTCCGCGTCCTCGTATCCAAATACCTCCTCGTCTGAAAAATCAATCTCCTCGTCGTCTTTTCTCCTGCGCTTCATGTTGGGCTCATCATCAAGCATAATCGTATCCCGATCCATGAAGAATTCGTCCTCTGAGTTGGCCACATCTTCGTATGTATTGACTTTGAGGCGAGCATCCGCAGGGTCCAGCTCCTTTGGCCCACTGGACTCGGCGGCGTGCCGAGAGGACTTTCTCTTCTTTGCCATGATGGAATTTGTGTGGTTTGGCGAATATATTGTTCAATTCGCGCGGCTGTGAAAGCAGAGAAACCACAATTTGGACGACTGGTTCAGGATCGTCGTTGAGAAAACTGGTTGAGACGGGTCGCTATGGCGCTCTATGGCTTGGAACTTTTCGATGGAGCATGAAATTTTCCTGGCTGATAAGATAAAGAATTTTAGTCTGCCGCCCTTAGCTTCCAGGTACCAAGGTACTTGGCTTGATGCGCCGGAGATATGTGCGTCCGCCCACTGTTAGCGCTCGCCTGTCTGCCTGTAGCTGATGGCCTGCAACTTCTGCCAAGCGAGACAGATACGGTAATAAGCGGCTTCTGCTCAGATGCAAGGGATTCCACATCAAGCCATTTTTGTTCTCATAGAAACACTGGAAATTGTAGTTTGAGTGTGCGCACTGCGTAGTATCACATGTAACCTGCAGCTACGCACTGGCGTGTAAATCCCACCCAATGCCACCTCCTGCTATTGATAGGAGTGGTTGGTAAAATGGCGAATCGTGATCGCCTGCAGAGAATGGCTGCAACTGGCAGCCCAAAGCCGGGAGGCAATAATTTCAAGTGGCAATATTCCTTAGATATGACCATATCGTCGATCAGTAAGAATCATTTCTCGTACACTATTTCACTGCTTTAAAGGTTTTTACGAAAAGTGATAAATTTGCATAGTTCACCTGGGATATTGTATGCGCCACGTATGTAGTATTGCATGGATCAGATATGCTTATGTGGATTAGCCAATATGCGAATGCGCTATGCCGCGCTTTCCAGCTAAAAATCGATGAGGTTGGCCCGCCGACTTGCTCTTGTGATAGCACTAGGCTAGTCTCTTGATCTGGTGTAAATTACCCAGCGGCTCCATATCAAAAGACAAGAGGGGGCAAAGTGATGGGCACGCAACAGCAGATGGTGTGCTGATAAGAGTTATTAATCTCCCTACTTTGCAGTGCTGATCGTATTGCTTTGGCGTCTGTGCATATATACCTATGTAGGGATATGCATTCGATCTGTGATAGCTACTTTCTTGACTGCACGGACCTTGCTCAGCGCCCTCTCTCTCCAGCATCTGCTTCGTATCAGTACAGCCAATCAAGTGTGCTGTGCAGAACTGCAACTCTGCAAGGCTACTCCAGCGATGCATGCTGGATGATGAAATGCCAAGGGTCCTACATGGGTGCTGCAGCCCACCCGATGCTTTCCCGGCACCCTTGGATGCAATACATCACCATCGGTTCTGCATGCCTTAGCGGACCATGCCTGGTTCCGAATTACCGAGCCGGCTACGGCGCATGTCTGCAGAGAAGGACAAGGCAGCATGGAATCTGAAGCATGGAATCTCTTGCTGGCCGTGTATTCTAGAGAATACTGCTATTCTGCGTGTTCATCCAAGACGCCAGAATCAAAGCTCCATCTGGCTGGGATCCCGCCCGCCGTTGTCGTCATGGCTTGACTCGACCGCCATCAAAGCGGCTCACCTGACAGCCACTCGCCCTGTAACGCGCTATGCTGTGGCCTCATAGGCGCCGTTCAGTGGCTATACCAGGTCAGACGTTGAGGCTAGCGCTAGCCCCAGGCGACCCCAGACTCGGAGCTAGAGCTAGGCAATGCACGCTGGGCCATGCAGACTGCACCGTTCAGCCTTGCAAACGCCATTGAGTCTGTATTTCATCCCCTTTTCTCGTTGGTCTGGGGAACTAGACTACAGCCATCCAACATTATTCCATTGTGACTTTGTCTCCTGCCAACAGCAGCAGCCCTCTTCTCCCATGTAAACGCTCCAAGTCGCTGCACCATCCCCGAGCCAAAGCCGATCCGAGGCCCCAAATGACCTGTCTCATGCTAATGCATACCACCCTGATAGCCCACAGCCCCATCCAAGCTTACCACATCCAGAGGCCTTTCATCATATAACATTTGCTCCTCCTTAGCATCCATCCGTCACTATCATCTCAGAGCCTCTTCTCGCATCTTCCTCCGCAATGGCCGAACGAGACGGCTACGGGTCGATGTCGCAGCCGGCCTCTCCCCGCCTCTCGCGCCGGCCACATCCCATGCGTCGCCAGGACTCGGCAAACGACGACGAGCGCGCTCCGCTGCTCTTAAACACCTCTCGATCACGCATCCGCATCCACGGCGGGGCTGCTTCGCCAGGCCGTCCCAACTTGTCCCGCGATCAGAGCTACTCGGGTATGAAGCGTTTGAAAATTCTTGCGACTTGAACAACCGCTAACGTCCATCGACGAGTGTAGACGGCAGTCCGAGCGCCCGACACCACAGCCGCCGCTCCTCCTGGGGACAGCGCATAGTCAATGTCTTCACCGAGCGATCCATGTCAGAATCTAAAGGCTCCATCTTCCCCGACGAGCGAGTATGGTACGATCAGTTTACAAGCACCGATTGGGTGCACGATACGATTGCCGACTCCTATCGCGCGAGGGCGCTTCGCAGCAGAAAGGATTTCTGGGGCCGAGTCCTAAAGACCGTAGATGGTAGCCAGGGCTGGATTCTCAGCGCTCTCTGCGGCTGTGTTATTGCCTTGATAGCATATACGGTCGATGTAGCCGAGTCTGTTGTCTTTGATTTCAAGGACGGTTACTGTACGAAAGCCTGGTATTTTGACGAAAAAGTAAGTAGAAGCATCTTTGTTTGCATTTAGGGACGAGACTTTGATTTTTGGCTTTTGGTCCTTTTACTAATAGAATAACTAGAGATGCTGTCCTAGAGGGAGCACCGAATGCGAAGACTGGAGGACTTGGTCCCAGGCACTGAGTTATCACCCCTTTGGAGAGAAGTGGACAGACTTCCTGTTTTATGTCGGAGGCGTAGTTTTTCTTGCCTGTGCCTCTTGTTGGGTGGCCTTGTGGACAAAGACTGTCGTTCCTTCAGCTTATCGCTTGACCACTTTGGACGAAAATCTTGCCGCCGAGAGCGCTCACCCTGTGCCGGATGAAAGCCCTGGCGATGAAAGCGCTAGTCCTCGACAGGTGGTTGATAGGAAGCCAGCCGATCCTCCCATGGTCTACTACTCAGCAGCAGGAAGTGGTGTCGCCGAAGTTCGAGTCATCCTCAGCGGCTTCGTTCTCCATGGCTTCCTCGGTCTAAGGACGTTGATATTCAAGATGGTCTCGCTGATTTTGAGCGTCTCTTCGGGATTAAGCATTGGCAAAGAAGGCCCCTTTGTCCATATGGCCACTTGCGTTGGTAACATTGCGTGTCGTCTTTTTGCAAAATACGATCGCAACGATGCCAAGAGGCGTGAAGTTCTCTCCGCCGCAGCGGCCGCTGGTGTAGCCGTGGCTTTTGGCGCGCCCCTAGGAGGAGTGCTGTTTGGGCTGGAGGAAGTATCATACTTCTTCCCAGCTAAAACGCTCTTTCGAACATTCTTCGCTTGTATCATCGCCGCGCTTTCTCTCAAATTTTTGAATCCTTATGGTACTCATAAGATTGTCATGTTTGAAATTCGATACCTAATCGACTGGGAATACTTTGAACTGGGATCTTTCATCTTTGTCGGCCTTGTTGGAGGCGCCATGGGAGCTTTCTTCATCAAAGCATCCAAGTATTGGGCACAAACTTTCCGTCGAATCAGGGTTATCAAGGCGTATCCAATGCTGGAGGTCTTTCTCGTTGCTGTTGTCACAGGCCTGCTGAGCTATTGGAATCCATTGACCAAAGTTTCAGTCCAAAAACTGCTCCTCAACTTGGCTTCTCCGTGCGATCGCACCAGGACTGATGGCCTGGGACTTTGCCCGAGGTCGATGGATGACATCCCCTCAATCCTGTCGACACTCATTCTTGCCTTCCTAATCAAGGGGTTCTTGACTGTCATTGCATTTGGAATCGTATGTATTATCTGATTTACCTTTATCAGCCCCGAGGTGGCATACTAACCCTTGAGCAGAAAGTTCCCGCCGGTATCTATATCCCCTCCATGGTTGTCGGAGGTTTAATGGGACGGATTGTGGGACATCTTGCGCAGTGGCTGGTGCTTGCCACTCCCGAATGGAGTGTTTGGGGCGGCTGTGCAACCGCAGCGGATGGAACGTGTATCCAGCCCGGTGTTTATGGTCTCATTGCTGCCGGTGCAACCATGTGTGGAGTAACGCGCTTGTCTGTGACTCTGGCTGTCATTCTGTTCGAGCTCACTGGCAGTCTGGACTACGTTCTCCCTTTCTCCCTATCGATCCTTGTGGCCAAATGGACAGCGGATGCCATTGAGCCGTGCAGTATCTACGTAAGTGAAGCGCGACGAGGTAAATCACAGAAAACAATCCGCTAATTTCCAGCAACAGGATCTTCTTACAAACATGAATGCATACCCATTCCTCAACAATAAGGACAAGCCCATCTTCAGCGGTGATTTGTCTGAGCTGGTCCGCCGCTATCGGAGAGAAAGAATAATTGATATTACGAACTCGCCATCGGTCCCTGCCTCAAGTCTCCGCAGCAAGCTGGAGATCCTTCATCTTCACGGCGAACTGGACGGCGGGTTGCCCATCCTGAGAGACGATGTCTTGGTGGGCCTGATACCCGCGCCGGATCTTCAATATGCTTTGGACCAGTTGCAAGACGAAGTAACCAGTCACTGCTTGATGGACCAGATTCAAAGCTTTGACGAAGATGACGACATTGTTAGGCCCGATCCTACAGATTTCACTCAATACATTGATCCTGTAAGCAGTCATTGATAATAATATCCGGGGGATAAATGAGGCAGAGGCCCTGACTAACAAAAACTATAGGCACCTGTTGCACTAGATATTCGATCGCCGATTGATTTGGCGTGGGAGTGTTTTGTCAAGCTAGGTTTGCGGTACATTTGCGTCTTGAGGGACGGCAAGTATGCTGGCATGGTGAGTAATGGCTATTATACCCTTTCAAAGTCCAATCTTCGGTTCAAATTATACAGTGCTGAGTACTCTTTGCGTTTTAGATCCATAAAAAGACATTCGTCAAATACACACGGGAATTAGAAGACGAGCAAGGTGGTCATTGAGTGAAACGACCTCGAATACGAAGATTTGTAGCCCTATGGAGCGGCTGGACATTGTATAGCATAGAGGCAAAGTTTTGTCCTTTCAGAGTTGTGGTTGATTTCGTTTTGCATACACTTGGCGCATTTGGCTTGGGCCCATGACCGACTTGGATATCGTTGGTCCACACCCTCTTGGATTTTCTATGTTCTTCACGCAGACACAGCAAGACTGCCGACTCGCATTGTTTCTTTGGCGGATTACTGCATGTTATAAGCATGGCAACAGAAGTTTTCTTTATTTTTCTGTTTTGTTCTTTTCTTGGAGCACACGAAAGTATCATATCTGCATAGCTGCGTCTGCTTTGGGCTTTTGGCGGCGATTTATTTTGGCAATAAGATTGGTAGAATACATTATGGATTTCTTGCTCTGGCATTGACACGCGTCTCGGTTCTACTCGTGATTAAGTTTAGTATAGATTAACCTCATGTGGCTTACACTAATTCACTGTGGCTGCACACTCCTCAGCCTTGGACTCTATCCACAGCTTCTAGCCTGAAATCTACTGAGAGGGACAACGAAATAGGCCTATTCCTCAGCGTTTCTCATAACCTCTTTTGGTACATTGGTACATGATATAGTGGCTAAGATGCACTATTCAAATAGGATTGATTCGGCGAAGTTCTGTGCAATACCACTTCCCCTCTGGCAGGGAGACATATACTGCTTAAAAATGATCTGCAATTATGGATAATTTGAGCCGCTGTTCTTTCCTACTTAGAAACATTAATTATCAAGAGAAAGCGAGGAGGCTGGGCAGCTTGGGTCGAAGGGACCAGGAACATGGGCTCGAGGTGGCGGAGATCTGAGATTAGGTTGGTAAGCCGGTAGACTGAAAGATTCATAGATAGTTGCGCCATGATGGTTCGTTGCTTTGATGCGAGAATGAGGAAAGACAGCCAGCCAGGGCGAGAGATTGGTTTTTTTTTCCGTGCTCAAGCCATTCGTCTTCTAGTTAAGTAAGAGGACAAGTATAACATCAACAAGGCAAATGAAGCCGGTTCAGGTTCATCCATTCGGCCTTTTTGTTTTAAGCGAAGAATAAGTTGCTCATTAGCCATTCCAATGTCCAAGTTTTGGATGGCAAGGCTGGCGAAGCGTTTGGAGAATTGTTAGCCACAAAGTATATGCTCTTCGTACACGTACTCAGACCTCGTTAAACTTGTTTTATTTGAGACATTAATGTCATTTGAATGGCATATATATAGAGGCCTACAATCTCATCATGCAGTTTCACTTTCATCTCCCTTTCATACAACTTCGCCGTTCGCTAGGATTCACTCCCCTGGTAAGACGGTTTTGTTTCCGGCACGCTGTCTGCTACAAAGATCTGGAAAGCGTTCCAATACAAAGACCAAGGCAGCCAGACTACACAAGACAATGCCTCCATACGCCGGTCATCGACGTCGAGGTGGCGACTTCAGGATTCCCGGCCGCCACTTCCACCCGGCGCACGAATCACTTCATCGCCGCATCCCAAACGACCAGCTCCTCGTCTACGATGCCACCAGAGGCGTCCAGCAGATCCAGCAGCAGGGCCCCCATGGCGACGAGGTAGATACCGACAGCCTCGTCCTGTCCATTGGGGGTACCTGTCGAAACCCTGGGACCCGCGGGGTTCGAGCAGCCTGGGGCGTCTACTTTGGCCCCGAATCGCCCTACAACGCGAGCGCCCTCTTGGATGCTGCTCTTTCGCAGATGCTGGCCAGGGCTGAGATCGAAGCTCTGCGCCAGGCCTTGGGCACCATCGAGGCCAAGATCATCTCCAGCGACTTCCAACCGCGGAGGTGTATTATCAAGACGAACTCGTCGTATATCCAACGGGTGTTCCCCAGCCTGGTCCGTCGCTTGCGCGTAGATGGTGGGAGGAATGTGTTTGGAGAGAAGGTGGTGTTTTACGAATTGCTCAGGGATATCGAGGAGCGTTTCGAGGATCTGGGCTATGGGGATGGGATAGAAGGAGGCACGGATGTCATGTTCTGGTGTGTCGCACAGGAGGAGAATCGAGAGGCTGACGGGCTCGCGGTTGATGCCCTCGCTCAGCCTCGAAATGGACATGAGGAGAGGAGGTGAAACGAGTTGGTTTGAATGTGAATATGTTGTATAGATGATATGCTTGTAGATATTACGATTTAATATGAACCTTGCTTTTCAGCAAATTATTTCATCATCCAGCATTCTGTAACTGTGGCCAATAACATGAGGATATCTTTTCCTGCGGCCGAACAGTATAACAAATTAAACATACTACCTCTCCGTATACTTTAAAGTGTGTTTTGCGAGGTAGTAAAGTGTTATTGCTTATGTGGACTAAGCATAGCTGAAGTTGGTTGATAAGACATTGGGAATACTTCCATGAGCGAGCGCTCCCTCTTAGGCTAAGACTGCTGACCAAAAAAAACTGAATAAATTCCAAAGTGACAATGATAATGAGTAAATGTGATCAAGATAAGATGATATATATATATATCTACACGTGTTCAAGGATGTTGGACTGCATGCTTGGATATTAGATAGTTAAAAACGTCCAAGCTCGATACGAGCATCGAAACAACCTCCGTGGAGACTCATGCAAGGCCGGAAGCCGGAAGACGGCGCGTTTAAAAGCAAAGTCCCGGAAGAAACACCAGCGAGCCGGACCGGCAACTGGGATGGCACGTTTAGTAATGCACAAGAAACGCGGAAGGGCAACTCACAAAATAGGCAAATTGGTTTGTCTGCTTCCTGTTTCGGGTTGCCGCCCAAAAAAATCGATGCTACCAAGCACGCATGTGACAGCCTGCGTGTGCCTGTCTGTCGCATCGCATCGTCTCCAAAAACGCCAAACTTACACTCCATTGCCTTATCTTGGATCAATGGCACTAAGGCTGCATTCCGTATAGTAAGCCGAGCGACTCCATCACCTATAAGTCATAGTCACAGTCTCAGCATTGGGGAACGACAGGCAGCCCCACGTGGGGATAGTTTGGCTACTGCACATGTCCGATCCGCCAGGGCCAACTAAAACGTAAGACAAATGGGCTTCTCGTGCATGAAATGTCATGGTCAGGTGCGCCGCTTGAAAGGCATTGGGAATGCAGGGCAATTGATCAATTGGCCAACGAGGGGGCCGAGGTCGGGGAGGACAAGGTGAGGAAAGATGGATATTGATTCCAGTTTTGATATACGAATATGGATCTTGACGATTAGCGTCTTTCTAGTGTGTAAGAGAAGACACCAAAAGCGTACTTCTAGATCATCACAGGAACACTCAGGGCAAGCCACGACGGCGCAGCAACAATTAGCCGAAAGCCATGGATTGGTGATGATTAGGTCCCCTGCCTGAATTGGCCGTCTCATCATGCAATTGCTTGTCAAAAAAGCTTCCTTGATCCAATAACGTAAAGAAGGCAGATCCGCCCCAGCCACCAAAGGCGCACCGGCTCCACGACCGGCTCCCCCGATTCCGGCTCGGTGCCGGTCCAGCAGCAGCAAGAGCAGCAAACAACAGCGCCCTTCAGTGGACGCCGCAGCGCCGTCTAGGCCGTCATAGTGCTCTAGCGCCCCTGAGCCTCCTCATGCTAGCACATGGAGCTTCCCCCGCATTGCGCCCCCCCGCAGATAAGCCGCCGCCATCCGTTGATATAAAGCACGACGTCGCACGCACCACGCAGCTAGACGGTGAGACTGTTGACGACACTATTGTTCTTTTTTTTTTTCTCGTCTTTTTTGCCTCTTCGCGTGACATCCTGTGAGGGGAAAGCGCGTGAAGCATTCTCCAACCTCAATTAGGTAATAGAAGAGAGAAAAAGGGAGGAAAGCCCAACGGCGCCTCAAGCCGACGCTACGCAGTCACGACACATAACAGAAACTCGCAAAAGTCCCAGCTGTGTTAACACATAAATACGGCCGTCAAGATGCCTGCTCTACGCGCTGCCCAGGCACTGCGCCCTGCCATCCGCTCTCTCCACGCCGCCTCCCTCAACTCTGCCCGCTGCTTCTCCAGCGCCTCCATCAGAATGGCGTCCAACAAGGCCTTCATCCAGGGCGAGCCCGACGCTCCTGTGCTCAAGGCCAGCATCCCCGGACCGCAGAGCCAGAAGCGGATTGACGAGCTGAGCGAAGTCTTTGATACGCGAAGCATCAACATGATGACCGACTTCACCAAGAGCATTGGCAACTACATCTCCGACCCCGACGGCAACTACCTCCTCGACGTGTAAGTGTATCACCAATTGATATGCTCTCTTCATCATTGCTAACTCGAGGTGACTCAATTCGTACAGCTACGCCCAGATTGCCTCCATCCCCGTGGGCTACAACAACCCCGCCCTGGCCAAGGCCGCCTCCACGCCCGACATGGTCAACGCCATCATCAACCGGCCTGCGCTGGGCAACTTCCCCTCCCACGACTACGCCGAGATCCTCAAGACCGGAATCCTCAAGGTCGCCCCCAAGGGCCTCAACAATGTCTTCACCGCCATGGCCGGCTCCGATGCCAACGAGACCGCCTTCAAGGCCGCCTTCATCTACCGCCGCCAGCTCGAGCGTGGCGGCCCCGACGTCGAGTTCACCCAAGAGGAGCTCGACTCCGCCATGAACAACCAGTCGCCCGGCTCCTCCTCGCTCTCCATCCTATCCTTCAAGACCGCCTTCCACGGCCGTCTGTTTGGCACTCTGTCCACCACCCGCTCCAAGCCCATCCACAAGGTCGACATCCCCGCCTTTGACTGGCCCCAGGCGACCTTCCCCAAGCTCAAGTATCCTCTCGACCAGCACGCCGAGGAGAACGCCAAGAGCGAGCAGGCCAGCCTCGACGAGGTCGAGCACCTGATCAAGACGTGGCACATCCCCCCCGCCGCCGTCATCGTCGAGCCCATCCAGAGCGAGGGCGGCGACAACCACGCCTCGCCCAACTTCTTCCGCGGCCTGCGTGAGCTGACCAAGAAGCACAACGTGCTCCTCATCGTCGACGAGGTCCAGACGGGCGTCGGCGCCACCGGCAAGTTCTGGGCCCACGACCACTGGAACCTGCAGGACCCCCCGGACATTGTCACCTTCTCCAAGAAGGCCCAGGCCGCCGGCTTCTACTACGGCAACCCGGCCCTGCGGCCCAACAAGCCCTACCGCCAGTTCAACACCTGGATGGGCGACCCCGTCCGCGCCCTGCTCTTCCGCGCCATCGTCGGCGAGATTGAGCGCCTCGATCTCGTCAACCACACGGCCAAGGTCGGCGACTACCTCTTCTCCAAGCTCGAGGGCCTGCAGAAGAAGTACCCCGAGCACTTCAAGGACCTGCGCGGCAAGGGCCAGGGCACCTTCATCGCCTTTGACAACCCCAAGCGCGACCAGTTCCTCGCAAAGGCAAAGGAGTTTGGCATCAACATTGGCGGCAGCGGTGCGAGCGCCGTGCGCCTGCGTCCCATGCTGACGTTCCAGGAGCACCATGCCGATATCTTGGTTGACGCTCTGGAGAAGATTGTCAAGGCTTTGTAATGGGATACAAAAGGAGAAGCAAGAAAAAAAAGATAAAAAAATTATGAAGAATATGATGTAAATTAGCGATTTGTTTCAAATACAAGAAAAACGAGTAAAGTTTTAAAAAGCTGCAGTGCTCATTTACAATGACCTGATTTAGCGAGGTTGATTCAACTCATCACACAGACCTTCATACATGCATTCATGTCAGAAAACGCAACACCGCTCTTCCTGCACACATTTCCCAGTTCATCGCTAATACTGTCCGAATACTTTACCTAGCCGATATGACAATAACTCAAAACAAAACGAAAACCAGGCCACTCCATTAAATCATCACTACTACTACTCTACTGTATCATCCCAAGATAGCTACGTTTGGTTATCGATCTCAGTTTGCACTATCGATATCGGTATCAAATATATTAACACCACCTCCCCGCCTATTTTTAGAATGCAACACAACTACGAGTATTTATCTACCTCGTTTTGACATACAATTTGCACACGGCGCTCAAGTACCTACCGTGTATTAACTAGGTACTATAAAGGCCGTACAACCAATACGACCTATCTACCCTTGGTCAGTTTGCAGGACCAATGAAACCCCGCGTCATAAGGAAAAGGATAGGTTTGGTTTTGGTTTCGTTTATACCATTTCCGTGCAATCAGAACGCGCGGGGAATGTTTCGTCATCCCTGAAAAGAGACTTGAAAATGTCCTATTCGTCGCTGCATTTTACTTGCATACTAGACACATATCAAACACTCGCATTTACCCAGACATAAACTCTATAAATAAAGACAACTATCTAAGCAAAATGCCTACCTACCTACCAGTACTAAATCGTACAACCCTCAATTCCTCTTTATACCATATGCCGGGGCGGTAGAATAAAAATAAAAAAAACCAACTCGAATCGTTGATTAATCGTGTGATACAAAGATGTGGGATAGCCTAAGAAAGAAAATAATGGGATGAGATGCCGTTCAACAGCAGCTCAATCTATCTACCTGTGAGATGCCGGAAGAACAAGGGAAAAAATAAGAATAGAAAAACGGAGGAAGGGAAGAAGAGAAACAAAAGAGGAGAAAGAAGCGGGAAGACAGTGCCACCCCCGCTTCGAGACCATGTCATTCGTGATTACCTAGCTCGTTTCGTTTCTCAAAATCCAGAATCATCACTTTCATTCAAGTCCATGTGCACATAGATGCTTCCAAATATCAAAAAGCCGACCGCGCAGGTGATGTAGTAAGAAAACGCCAGTATGCTCCAAATCAACCTCCACACAAATCGTAAAGGAAAGTCAAAAGGGAAGGAGAGCAGAGAAGGAAGAAAAAGGGAAACGTAAAAAAAAAAAAAAAAATTTGCAAGTACATGAAAGGGGATCATGGAGAAATTGAAAGGGTATAATGTTGTGACACTACCAAGAAAGAAACATGAAATGTAGAAACAAACACACACAAAGGTGTCCCTTTAACCTAGCCATTTGGGCCTTTTGACAGAAACCCTGAAAGAAGAGAGTGCTAGGCTGTGGCTAGTACTGTTATTCAGGCTTTGATTTGAGATGGTGCCGTAGGTGCTACTACAGGCATGAGGGAGGCATGATGTCGCGGCTCCGGTTCCAGAGGCATTGGGCGAGGGGATAGTACTTGTCCCATCTCACGTATATTCTCACGCACGTTTGTGGAATTTGCCTCGCTTGACTCTCGCTATCGCCATGGATTAGACTAGCATACAGGTGCTTGCTATTTTTGGCTACTTACTGGTCGTTTCTCATGATCCACCGAGGCAGGAGGTGTGGTTATAGCAGGAAGAGGAGGCGGGGTGGAGACTGAAACTGCACCTGCGCTTGTCTTTCTCCTCTTCTTACTCGGGGGAGAGTCGAGCAGTAGTGGGACGTGCGCTGGAGGTGGCGGCTGAGAACTTCGAGCAGGAGTATCAGGTAGGCGCTGAAGAGCCGGGAGAATAGGCCGAGGCGTGTTGGAGCCCGGAGCAGACTGAGGAGGTCTGGGGGCGATATTGGCAAGACGAGGAGGCACAGCTGTGCTTCTGTCCACCCGCGAAGGACGTCCTCTCTTTCGAGGAGCAGGGGCATTTGGAGCTTCGTAGGGCGGTGCTCGTCTATCCTCAGCATCGGCTGGCGGCCACGGAGACATATTGACGGGCGACATTGGCATGGCCCCAGGGGTTTGGCCACTAGGACTGGTTCTCGGCGCAATCTGTCTTGGATGATTCATACCACTGTTGGCCAGATGATCGTTTTGAGACATTGCAGATCTGTGGTTTGGGGCTGTCGGCGACCGGTTCGCGACTTGCATGCACTGTTCCAGATTGCGGCCTAGAAATCAAGTTAGAATACTAATGCATCGTAAAAGGGTCAAACTAGGAATGCAGCATCATCTGATTCGCCGTACCTGACGGGATTTGCATCGTCATCCAGTTGGGGTCGGACACGTTTGACTCAACAAATCGTATCAACATTTCAACATCAACCGTGCTGCATTTGATCATCTCCGCGAGAACAAATCGCTGAGCAAAAGTGCATTAGTAAAATTTACTTGCGATCTTGCAACTATACAATAAAAACAGAGATCTTTTCAACATACCTTTTCGTCCAAACTGAAAGTAGCAGCCATGGTTTCTGAGAAGAGGGGTTGTTGGAAAAAAGAAGTGGCGTGGTGATATGTCAAAGAGGCAAAGAGCAAAGGAGAATAGGACGTGGTGCTAGCCCTCGCACAAACATTGACGCCGCAAACAAGAAGAGGACTTGAAACTATCGGCAAGAGAAGTAAAAGTAGATGAAAACCAAAAAGGATGCCCTTCGCGAAGAAGCACGGACGGGGGAAGTTATCAGAAACGGCAGCGTTGCGAGATGGAGAGCGAGCGAGTATCGTAGCACGGCCGTGGTCGAGATAAAGCTGATGGTGGTGGTTGTGCAGCCACTCCTCCACAGACCCCTCTCAAGCAGGCAGATGTCGATGCAGATGCTGCAGAGCCAGTAATAATGGGAAACGCAGACCAGAGGCTAGTCGAGAAACAAGTTGCGTCCAAAACAGCATGCCTTGCAGGCGGGCGTTGCTCCGCGGCTCCAGTGGTGGAGGGCCTGGATCCTCGGTCGATGTGGTCTTGAGCCCACTATCGTGAATAACAAGAAATGCACAACACCGGCCGGCAGGCGCGCGGCTTTTCTTTTCCCACGGGCCTCGTGGCTAATACGAGCGGGCTCCTACGGGTCTCGAGGAGAAACAAAAACAAGCAGAATGGAGAGGTGTTGCTTGTGCAGCGTCGATCCGCGACATGCAGTAGCACGCTTGTTGCAGGCAATGAAGCGAGCAGATGCAAAGAAAGACCAGAAGGGTGCAGATTGCCGGGATGGATGGATAAATAAGGCCTGGCCTGTCCTTGCCGGGAGGAAATATGTCTGCTATGTCCAGTCGAAACCCCGGCGCTGAGATTTTGCAGTTTACCTGGATATGCCCGATGCGAGCTCGGAACCGTGGTGGTCGTGACAAGAGCAGAAAAGAGCAGGATGCAGAGATGCTGAAGAAGAAAAGAGACGGAGGAGGGAAGAAGAAGGCGGAGGGGGGGTGTTGAAAAAGACAGAAAGGACGGGAATTAGAAAGAAATCCGGAGCCCTTGGAAGTCGTAGGACTGTCTCTTGCTCTTTCCTCAGGGCAGAGCAAGCAGAAGGTTGCCACGGTGGGCTGGGGCGAATGGCAAGGCACAGGCAGGCCTATCTGGATCTGGATACGAGTACTAGCAGTAGTAGCAGTAGTAGCAGTATCCTATCCTACAGTATACCTGACGCTGTCTCTCGCTGTCTCTCGCTCTCTCTGTCGTCGTCTCTCGCTGTGCTTCCTCGGCTACTGGGCGGTTGGCGGTGCAGTTGGCAGAGCTGAGCAGCAGGGGAGCCGTTGCGAGTGGCCAAAGAGAGCCCGCGAGGCAGTTTGTTATCGACAGCCGGCCAGACAGACATCCAACAGGCCCTGCTGCGCCGCACGTCGCTCTGTATAGCCCGCAAGCCGGTGCTGCGAGGATGCTAGTACCAAGACGTGCAAGCAAGGGTTGTTGCCGTATGCACGAGCGTCAGTCCCGGCCTCTGACGCTTTTCCCAAGACTGAATGATCGTTGCCCGCTGGATCTGGATTCGAAAAAAGACACAAGAAAATATTGCCCGCCAGACCACCCCCCCTGGCTCGTCTTGGTGGCATCGACCGCGAATGGAGCATGGAGCAAGGTAATCTGGACGCACAGCATGTACAGAATGCCCGTCCGGCATGTACTTTGTACCCCACGACTCGCAGCTCTGGCCCTGCTCCCCAGCCAAAGCGCAGCTACTCGTCGGTACAACGTGTGCACATGATATTGAGGTATGACGGCACCCTGCAGTGGCGATTTGACAGAACGATCCAGAGGCCGCCGCACGCTAATATATGGAGGGCCGTCGGCAACCTGGCTGAGGGCGCTGTGAGTGGCGTGTCTGGCTGATCCAGTCTGGTCCAGCCTGATCCAGTCGCGGCCAGAGTAGGCAATTCTGCGACTCGCATGCCTGCTGAGGTCTGCCAGGCCTTGCCGGGGAGCTGCAGCGCATCGTTAGATGGATGGGGAGCCGCGTCGCCGTTGCTGCTTCCGGACCGTCTGCTAGGCCTGAAAGGCTTACTTTGAGCGTCCGCTGTCTCGCATAGACGGCGAGGGAGGGGGGTTGATCCTTGAGGGTGGAGTGGGAGGGCCCCGGACCAGGACTAATACCTGGGTTAGTAGCTGATGCTATTCCGTGAGGAGCGGCACCTGCACAGCTGTGTCGAGCATGGCGGAGTGGCGTATACCCGTACATTGATGCTTGCACGTATATGCTTGCATTCGCATGTGCATATGTGTGTATATAGAGCTGCAAAAGAAAAGACAGCGACGAAAATGGAGAGAATCGAAGCATGAACGATGCTCTTCTTTTCCTTTGCTCCCAAGAGCCAAGACAAGACAGGCCCTTTTTTCGACTTTTGGCCTCGATGGAACGCTCCGTTTAGTGAGACGGCCGTGTCTAGTGAACATGGATGCGCCTTAGCCATGCGGACGGGCGCCTGTTTAGCCGGGAGCGGGCCTTGCGGTGGCACGGGTACCAGAGCGACAGGGAGGCCACGGGGCGATGGCGCCCTGGCTCGAGGTATCGAGGTACTTGCGTCGTGGGAGAGAAAAAGAGCGCGGGAAGGTACTTTGCAGCGAGGGCCTTGGAGTTGTCCAGCTTGCTCCAGGCTGGCTGTACCCATCTCAGCATGGGTCCAGCAACAAAAACTCCAGCCAACACCAGCACTATCAGCAGCACTATCAGCAGCACAGCGGCAGCATCAGCAACACCACCAGCAACAACAACATCAACACGACGACACGACAAGACACGACACGACCCGTAGCCGCAGCCGCAATCGCACTGCATCTCGCGATCGCCATGTCCCAACACCATCGTCATCGCCCGCCATCTCATCCCAGCAGTGGTACCTCGCAAGTCACTGCCTGGTCTGCGGCATGACCAAGGTTTCATTCGTCGTCCGCACGCAGGCGGCTAGGCGGGTCCTCTCGCAGATACGTCGTCCAAGGCGGCCTTTGTATGGCCCGTCGTACCAGGGCATGGCAACTTCGGTGAAAGTCGTGGCTCTGGATCTCTCCCTCGCCCTGGCGCTGCCAAACCGTGCAGTGCAGAACGAGGCAAACGGGCTCGACCTCGTCCCATCCATCTATTCCCTCCACCATCCACCATCCATCTTGTCTCATGGCTGTACCGTATCATATCATACGGCTTGCCTCGTCTCGCCTCCCCTCCACCAGCCGGCGGCACAACCCTCAGATCGCCATGGAATTAATATAGCGGTGCGCGAACCATCTTGGCCAGTACCGCCAACTACCGAGGAGGCCCTTGGTCGTCCTGTTGGGTTGGTGCTGTAGATGGACCCCAGCAAGCTCGGGTGCTGGACGAGGCCAGGCCACGGCGCCATCCGATTTGCTGCGCGCTACCACGCCTAGGCGATGCGACACACAGCCGACGCTCCAGACGCCGTCAAGCATGTATCGTCGAATGGGTGTGGCCATACCTGACGTGCAGCTGCATCGCGGCGGACCTGGTTGCGCTCAATCGGCCAATCCCACGCCGGCCATCGCCCGCCTGACTGTCTTGCGTTGACGTCCGTCCCTCAGCACCAGAAGCGGCAAGCTCGCTTTTTTTTTCTCTCATTGTTGTCTTGGCTCTCGTGTCATCCGTCGTCCTGTTCTGCGCTCGTTTCCTGCCTGTCTGACTCCATCCGGCTTGCTTGCTGAGCAATGGTGGGGGTGGCCGCTCAAATGGCCGCATCGCACCAGATATGCATCGCGGCGGCCATTCGCTCCATGAATCTTGTGCTTGCACGATAGTAGCTGCAAAGCAAGGCTCCGGAAAGAGGTTTCGAGTTAGTAAAAACGACGTCTGTTGCGCGCGTGATGCAGCACGGCATCGAGCTGACTGCTATTCGCCCATTGGCCCACTGGCTTTGCGTCTGCTCAAGAGCAGATTGGATGGCCACAAGACCACTGGGCGGCGCCGCACCAATCATGCCGCGCTCTGCGCTCTTGTCAGATGCCTCTGCCGCAGCGCAATCCACACAAGGTTCGTCACAAGTGACTGGCGAGTATGGCTGGCTGCACAAATGAGAAGAAGGGATATTCTTAGACGGTGGCGTCCCCGTCCCGTTAGCCGCGCTTCAGACGAACCATGAAGCGAGGCGAAAGCATCGCGACCTCACCTCTGGCAATTGCTTCACTTTTTTTTCTGCCACCGCTCGTTCGACGACACAAAGACTACCTGGACTAAACCATCGGATCCTGCCTCTTATATAGGCTCGCTATTTCAACAAGAACCGGTTCCTTATTGCGGCCAATACCTCATGCATAATGAGCTGGCACCCACAAGACCCACTCATGTACAACACATCATAAAAAAATTCTCTGCGCAAAGGCGGTAGACACTCGAGCAGTGATGCTTCCCTACCTGGCCTTGCAAGACTGCTTCGTTTTTTTCCTTTTTCCCGGGATGGGCTCCCCTTGGTTGGTGAATTACGTCGGATCTTCCAATCGCATCTTTTCGAACTCAACATGGTCGTACCACTTTCAATGCCTGCCTTTTTGTTACGTCGCCACGTGGCCGCAGCTACAAACGCTTGCATGGCCAAACCTGGGGTTGAAACTCTACATGTAATTCGCTGGCAGCAAGCCGCTTCCGTTTGCCGGCCAATTTCGGCCTGGATTTTTCATTCTTCTATCTTTCTCTCAGCTGCCTTTTACCAACTTGCACATCAGCCGGAACGCTAAGCAATATTCCCGTGCGCTTTTGAGGCTGTTCGGTTTGGGTTTCTTCCTGAGAGACGGCAACGCCGGTGTTGACCACCTTTGGGGTAAGCACCCTTGTGAAGTGGCGGTCAAGATGCGACTCTGCGATTATCCTGCCATAGACTTCTGGATGGTGGCCCACGATCAATTAGCCCTGATCTGTGCAGGACTGTTCACTGAACTGCATCCCACTCAGGTGGCACGAGAATAGCGGGTTGTGACCAACAAGACATGCGGGCTGGAGGCGGACAGAGTCTGTCTGGTGTAAGTGAATCAGGCCGCTCGT